CGCCCTCTTCCTACACACAACACACCCGGGTCACTACTACTGTTCACTTCGCCCGGTCTAAGCACTAATCCTACGCTGTGCTACTTATTGCCACCGTTCTTGTATATCGTGCTCACTCACACACATACATATGAATAACATAGAACGGCCGACTTGCACACAAACTCAAGGCACTAACCAACCCCTAGACCCCTGCCGAGGTGAACAAACACAAGTCCCCCACACGACCACCTCGAGCGCCTACAGCCGACACCTGCTTCACTACGCGACACTATGCGCCCGCGGCCCCGCCATACATGCCACTACCCGCGACGCATGGCACTACCCACCATACATGCCACTACCCGCGACGCATGGCACTACCCGCGAGATATGCCACTACCCGCGAGATATGCCACTACCCGCGAGATATGCCACTACCCGCCAGATATGCCACTACCCGCGATATATGCCACTACCCGCGACACATGTCACTACCCGCGAGATATGTCACTACCCGCGAGATATGTCATACCCGCGATACATGTCACTACCCGCGAGATATGCCATACCCGCGATATATGACACTACCCGCGAGATATGCCATACCCGCGACACATGCCTCCCGCGCTACATGCCATGCGGTGACAACAAGCTGTGGAGGCGACAACAAGCGACATACAAAGCTGCAGCATCACTACCAGGCCATGAACAAGTCACACGTCGTACATGCACAGAATATTTAGGTATAGTGTCTTAATAAGTTTATTGATCATAAGTGTCGATACTGGTCATACTCAAATGGACCGATGTCCGAGAACTTACAACGAGTCTCAATGTCACAATAATCTACACAATCAAGTCCACTAGACGCCTCATTGGAATCGACAGCATTCCAATTGAGAGTTATTCATGTAAATATATTATTAAGTGCGAACATTCAGCAAAGTCATTGGCTAAATAACATGTTATTTCATTATATCTATAGTACTTGTGCCCAGTACTATAGATAGTGTATTATTTATCTGACGAGACGAGACCAAGACCAGATATCATTGCATATCCGGTCTTGGTCTCGTCTCTTGAAACACATTGTATAGTCTAATTGAAATAAGTTACATATTTGACTTTAAAATCACTTCGTCCTTGTGTAACATCTAGGTAGACTAACTGCGTAAGAAAACTCAAACAACTATCTTTCTCTAATCGGTTCTCTCTAATTTGTTTTATGAATGAAACCACTTCAGAAGATTTAGAAAATAGTAGCAGTAGCAATAGTAGCAGTTGGGTGGCACGTACCGTCGCGCAGGTCCCCGGCCTCCACCTCGGCGATGCCGTTGACGAGGGAGTCGAGCCCCTCGTTCTCGGAGCGGCTCTTGTCGCGCGAGTCCCGCGTGCGCCAGCCGCCGCGCACGAAGTTGTTGATGTTGGCGCTCGGGTCGCTCAGTCGGCGCTGTAACACCACGCCACGCGCCTTACTATCATACACCTCCACAAGCGAAGGGTCCTATCGAAGCTGTATAAGATACGGACCTGATGTCTGTACATAAACATCTCCTCGGGGTCGTCGTCCCAGTCGCTGTCCCACATGTCGGTGGCGGACAGGCCGGGCTCGGAGGTGGGTGTATCAAGCCCGGCGGCCCGTGGCCTGGACACCGCCATTTCAGCGTGTCCCTTGCCGCTGGGCCCCTTCATCCGCACGAACTCACACCGCGCCGCCGCCTTCCCTCCCAGCAGCCCGAAGGACATGCGCTGCGCCACTTTCGTGGATAGCGACGTTTGCTGGAAATTGTTATTGATAACGTGAATTAAAACACCAGATTAAGAATAAAAGAGAGTTATTCAATAGTAACGATTACAGACGGACAAATTAAGAGACTTTCATAAGTCAAGAAGACAAACTGCATCTGAACAAGAGCCGCAAAACTATTGTTGATGCGGCGCGAAACTAGTGGTTTGTCGACAAGCAGAACTTTCATTCTATAACTCTTTATTCACTAGTAGACAACACTAACTGCATTCACTTTTCATAAAAAAATGAAAATTGTGCGTACAGTCGTTCAGCGCATATGAAAAGCCTGCTATTCATTGTAGCGTAACAATGGGCTTTGTCGAGTAGCAGTGCAGGCGTTTTGTGGGAACTTCATTGTTTATTTTTAAACGCAGACAGAGAGCGCGCGTACAGCGTGTGTTGTGTAAACACACGGCACGCGCCGCTCCACAGCCGCGCGCCGCGCGCCGCCGCGCCGCCGCGCCGCTCCGGGCTGCGGCGTGTTGACCCACGTTGTGGACATGCCAAGTTTCATTTGATTCTTTTTATTTTTGTGTTGAAATGTCACTCATTTGAACTTCCGCATTGAAAATAATAGTACGAATAATGGAAAAACTAACAAGAAATAGACTCGGACCAAACTTAAATTTTGGAGACAAAGTCTCTTGTACACAATAATAATTAGTCGATCAATCAAATTAGTCAATGAATTTAAATGAATTAGGATGCCCGCAGCTCAATGTGTACGTGACAACGCGGTGAGTTTGAGTCAAGGAGTCTAACAGTTCCCTTCGTCCAATCTACGAGAAAGGACTGGGAAAATATATGAGTATTAAAGACAATATGAACTAGTGGTAAGCTAGAGCACAGTTACTTGATGGCCCACAACTACCAACCGGTCGAGAGACTGAATCACCTCGGTGGGCGGAGGCCTCGGCGCCGCTGGGTTATACCAGTGCGCAGTGATACTAGTCTATTAAAAGATACGCGACTCGACTGAAACATTCCTGTCACAGATTTCATCTTAACACCAATCGTGGTGACTCACAATAACAACTTAGTGAACACTCAGACAAATTTAATGTTAATATCAAAATCAGTATCAGTCGGTACCAAGAAATGTTGACCACGGACTATAGTAGTCGGGACTTTGCCCTTTAGCGATCAGTCAGTAAAGTGAATCACACTGGCCTACAGAGTGCAGACGTTTGAAAGCGAACCCTTAGTGAAAGACGGTCGGTTGTCGACCCCGCGGCCCACAGCCCGCACCCGCACCTGCTGCCAACGTACCATTGTTCCCACTCGCGACTCACGACCATGATTCATCACAAAAGTACTGCTTTACAAGGAAGCCATTATTAGTACACTGTAATTCCAATATTACCTACCCACTTCTATTTATAAAAATCGATAGCAAAAACGGTTTACCTATGTAAACGAGTCGCAATGAATAATAAAGTAACAGAAACCAGTTTCCGGCGGCTAGCACTTCAGGGTCCTCTACATAATGATAGTTGTATTTTTTCCCACAGTAAGTACCTAGTCATTAATGTCGGCGTGCTACGCTAAAGTGTCAAACCACCGGTACTTGGAGAAGTACTTGAAACTAATTAACAGGGCTACCGATTACTTCAACGCAAGTGCCATATAACTAAACTCGAGTGCTAGGAGCATTCAAATAAGTGGTTATATTATAGGTAATGGGGAATTTGGGCAGTTGTAGGAACCATTCATAACTTAAGTAGTTAATGTAGTAGCACAGCATGGCGTGGTGCATAACAAGTACATGCCAGGGCAGTGGCTTCCACAAAGTACTAGTTGTTATAATTAATTTCACCGCCGTGTTGGAAGGACAGCCTGCAGATTTAAGTGGGGGGGGGGGGCGGGCGAGGAAGCGCGACATCGCGTCGCCAAGCTATATTTTCTTAATTAACTAGTTTTACTGCTATTCTCATCTATAAAATACAATTGCATCGTATAGTACTGAAGACATCAAACTTTATAAAAATATTCCATAAATCAGGTTCTAATTGGATTCAATTTGGCATTGCAACTTTTTATCTTTTATACGTATACTTAGAAAAACATGTATGAAGACACGATATGTAGGGTGTGGGCAGTACGTATGTATGTAGCTGGGAAGCTGCGAGGTGGGTCCGGGGTGGGTGTGGGAATGAGATCACGCGACGCGTGCACTGATGTCAGCATCCATCGCGCCAGGAGTCAGCCTCGAGGGGTGGTGGCGCCACACGCGACCGCTACGTCACACTCGCACCCTCCGGTAGGGTTACATTCACAACGTACCATTCCTTAACGTTGTGTTCATGTAGACATAGGTACCTACCTACATTCAAACAAACTACAAACTAATTCAATCATTTTTTTAAATTAAGACATGGACAAAATATTTATATGGCAAAAATACTCGTGCGGAACCTCAGATCAAAATAATGGGCGGAAATTATTCCATCTTACTTCCTTTCTGAAGACATAGCCACGTCATGCAAGCCAGCCCTACAGCCGGCGGGTGGCAGGGAGGCAGCGTGACGTCACTCACGGCTACAGGCTGCCAGCCTGTTTGATCAGCACAGACGCTGATCAATTAGTCTGCTATTATTCAGGCCTTGTTTATTTAACGACACTGCCCGACTTCACTGAGGCCGTCCCCCCAATTGATTATATTTTTATATAAATACCGACTGACAAGCGACTTATACTGTTCGCCTATAAAACGTACAAAAAGCGTATTGTGAATTTGCCTTACTCTTTGTCTCTTTTTTGTCTTCTCTATATTTCGTTTAATGCATTTAATTGTATCCTCTGCAAAAAGTTCCATAGCGTTATATTTATCTCAGTTTGATAATTATTTCCATTTTTACAGTAAATTATTACTGTCGTGCCGTCGGGTAATAAACTGGTGTGGTGTTTAATTGTTTATTGAGGGAAGTTGTTCATGTAGATTGAAAACAATAAAGGCTCTAAAATACAGTTCTGTGCAGGAAGTATGTTATTAATGTAATTATTTTATTTCCACAATATTATTTAATTATATTTAATTTATTCCTCAGATATTATTGAAAGCCTTCTAATAATACGAAATGGTTACCAATATTAGAAGATTTTCTTAGATCTATGATATCCACGACAATTACCTTAGGTAATGACTTTAAATTAAGTTCTATTTACGACTGATAAATACATACACACATATCTTACGTACTTAAGTCGATACGATCTTCACGCCTATCACCGCCTATGTCCCGTTAGGGTACGCAAAGACAATGGACCATCAAATGAATAGGTACGTGTTTTTCTGAATCAAAATATTGTTTTATAAATATCTAAATGATTTAAGTTCAGTAACACGCGTGACGTGAGCAATTCAATGAACAGCTACCGGTGACGCGAACACAGACGCGCATGGACACTGGACTGGACAGTATGGACACCCATCCGCTCCTTAACGACTGTAACGGTCTATATTGTACACAAATTGCAACCGACGCGACGACGCGATACTTCGACCATAATCAGGATCACTTCACTACGCCCTGCGTTTGGTGGATATTTATCATTCATTACACTTTATCTGTTCTGTGATTTTGATAATACATCCGTGTCACAAGTTCCCAAACATAGCACGTATGATAAGTGATAATAGGGGAGTGCTATATGAGATGTATTCTGTGGCAGCGATAAGGGTCCAAGGCCGGCGCCTCGAGACGTCGCGGCTGGCGCGCCACTGGCGGCGGTTGCGCCCCATAATCCCGTCTGGCGGCTCGTAAACCCAGCCCCGTGACGACCCGCGTCATTTTACAAACCAAATGCTATAAAACATTTCATTCAATCGATCAAATGCAGCAACCACCAAACTCAGGAATCGTTATCTAGGGAACTTCCGAATACGTATACCTACATTAATATCTAGGTACCTACCTATTTATATTTATGACGACAGTTATCGGATAATGTAATTAAACGATAACTACCGATTTGTAACAACTAAGCAGATAATCACATGAAAGACTTGAAAGACTTGACTTAACGCAGATTGTTATCTGAGAACAAATATTCAAGAGGTCAAAAATATATGCACATGACGCATGTTAACAGTCAAATATGGAGAATAAATGACAACATTTCCGTGTAACAAGAATATTGTAAAGCTGCGTGACCTTCGTAATCTCATTACTCATTCCAGCAACTACACGACATAATGTCCTAGGTTTCCACGACACGAAAACTTAGGCTTGCCTCGATACAACTCAACAGGTACTTGAATTCGGAACTGAGCTTCTATCGTCGGATACGCCATCACACTGTTTATCTACAATAATCTCGAACATTCGGAACGCCCCAAATACTTTAATTGATTGATGGCGTGCCGTCACTGTGTATTTTTTCCGCGATTACATTTACATATCTAACTAATTAAGTTCGGTATGGTTGCAGGACAAATCCTGTACTGTAACAATATAACAACACATATGTTCTCTAATGGGAATCTCCCTTGTTTGTCGACCAACTAGATATAATCGTACAATTAAAATATAATTATCTAAATAATGTGTTCACAAGTATTCGCGTGAAATTTCGCACACTACAATGAAGCATGACCACGTGTGTGACAACGTTTTATGTACGAATCGCATAAAGCCGGAGTTGCTTCGAAGATATTATCTCAGATTTGTAGAAACAATAAGTTATTTGGATAAGGCGAATACATCATTTGTCCATTACGCAATAAGGCAGTTTATCGACGTAAAGGATTCGCCCGAACTGCCCGAAGGTCACCGGCAGCGGGTACAGCCGACCGTGTCCACTTGTTGGGCTTCCTCCCATCATTACGTACACGAGCACTGATCACTATCGAAAATATTTTAATTGATTCGATATTAACGGGAATCGCGCTCGTGCAAACCAGACAATTAATTGTGTAATGGATACCTAAATGGTAATTATTCATTATATTTCATGTTTATAGCTCAGTGGCGTGCCAACGGAGAGCCAATCTGTCCAGCAATGGACGGAACCGAGCTAATGATCATGGAGTCTCTAGAAAATTACTTATTTGAATAGAAGATTAAAGAAGAATAAATGATCATACTCGGCAGAATGTCACTTCTGCCGCGTTTGCTTTGTGGGCGTTATGTTAAAATAAAACATATTTTCGTAATATATATCCGCTTCACACACATATCAGAGTACGATTATTGATATTACTCAACAAGCTTCAAAGCAAACTGCGTCATGTATTAATTCAAACTGGTCACCGAACCAATGTTAGCCTTCACGACAACAATTTAAAATTAATGAAGTATAGTACACATAAATAGAAGCTATTCAATATAGACTTGATAGCTGGTTCCTGAATGAGAGCCTGGCCAGCCGGTAGTGTCACGATAACACGAGTGACGTCAGCAGCATCCAATCTCCGATTATTCCAACTTCCAAGGTACTAGATAACAGCTATCAACCAAGTCTCATATCACAACGAAATATTTTGCAGATATTTATGTTTTTGCCAATGAATAGCAACTTTTGTATCCACTACATAAAGTGACTTTGAGAGAAGCAATAATTACAGAAGAACAAAGTATAACAACTACGCATACCGACATTATAGATAATTAAGATTCTTGTGTCGTGTCGACATCGATAGAAGTGTGGGCTAACCATCTCGTAATCAATTTAATATAAACATCTGTTTACGATGTCTACGATACTGACACAATATTCCGACCGGACGGTGCCTGGCGAGACGTCTTGCTCTTCAATTCTAATTATATAACACAGGAAAAGAATTATGTTAATTAATTAATTAATATTTGAAATCGTATCAATCTATCTGTATCATTTTCACTAAAATCCATTTGGTAGTCACGCGCATAAATATTTAAATATTGTGATTGTTCCGCAGAAATTTCGAGAAACTAAGCCAAACATAATGGACGTATACTATTAATTCCGCGATGAAAGAGTAAACTAAGTGATCAGCTAGTCGTTTCACTCATTGCAAAGTATTTAACGAAAGTCCTTACGTACTTCGACATATAAGTAGTCCTTACTTCACCGGTATTCATCACAAGTACGTACCTACATACATTCGCACAGGTACAATCAATCATGATAACCAACGAGTTCATAACTAGCAGTCGCTAAGTCCATTGATATAGAATCAATGACAATGGCTGCTATCTCTTTATTACATTCATACACTTAATTCAAGTATATCAACTGTATCAAGCCCAATAAGTGCACTAAGAGTTCAGCCACCCAGAGCTGTGTGAATCTTGTAACTCGCCGTTATAGCAAACAATTAGTCGCGGTTGTTTTCAAACATTAATTCATTTATTAGTTACTTACATGTAACGTATCAGATGTCACCACTCTATACTCCCATGTGGGTTGTTGGTCCATTGTCAACTCTAATTAGAGTAACGAACCGTCAATACTTTGAGAGAAATAGGGGCATATAGGTAATCTCTTGCTGACTATCGCACTTAGAACTTACATATAGATCTCCTTCTATATGTAAGTTCTAATTTGTTAGGGTATTATCTGCGTCCACTCAATGTTCGCCGTTACATCCGACCTCTAAACTGAGTGCTCTTAGAATGTGGAACGTGGTATTAAGTAATTAATACAAGTCAAGCCACTGAACTTTTCAAATGTCAGGAGCGCAAGTTAGTCGGTAGCTTCATTAGTATTGACGTGGCAGAGCCGGGAACGGGGGCAGCCCGGCGGCCCGGCGTCGGACCGGGAGCCGCGCTAAATAACCCGTATCCGGCAATTAACGGCCGTGTCACTTGTTGCTGCGGTCGCGGCCGGTTCCTAACTCACCATACATTGCCCATTCTACTTACTCACTGATCACTTCAATCAAAATATTGCCTATACATGACCAGGTTAAAGGCAGACATGTTATGTCTAGACATACGTCATGTAGGCAACCGTTTAAAACGCAATGTTGTTCAACTTACCCATAATTATATGATTTTGATAACTTATCAATTCGATCGTAAATTAAATATTTATTTACGTTCACTTTAAAACGACAGGAACCAATCGATTATATTGTAATAAATGATAAAGGCTCTCAACAATTCTACATTATTCGATATGGCAATAATATGAGTTTAGCAAGTATTTCAAGTATCAAGATAAACTACTAGACTATTGTTGACTGTGTGGGTGGACTTACCCTGGAGTCGTAGACCCTGGTGAGTATGTCGTAGCGGATGGAGCCGAGGAAAATGACGGCCTGGGGCGCGCAGCCGCGGCCTCGCGCCACCAGCTCCACGCACACCATCTCCCCGTCACGGACCACTATGTCGCAGAACACCTGCACACACACAACATACCCATCATATATCTGCTACTACTGCTAGTGCATCAATGAACTTATACACTACAAAATAATTTGTTAAACGAATAGGGAAGTACTTAAAAATGTATATAAGGAAATAGTAGACAATAACAATGTATACCTACGGAAACTATATAAACTAATTGCTGGTTTTGAACATTGAGATTTCAGAGCAATCGTAGTCGAGCCCTCGCTTAATTAACAACCGATTGAATTATGTAAGTACCCGTTACACGGCCGCCTACTGCTGTACTAACATGTACTCACATACAAACTAACGCATACATTAGGTAATACTCCGCGTCAGTCACTCATTACAACGATAATTAACAGTTGATTGTTAACTTTATAAGAAAATAATACAGTGTTCGTCAGTGTTAATAATTATTGTACAGGGTATGTTGAAAATACATCTCCATTTGAGCTATGACTTGTATCGAACAGGAGGAACCTTCGATAAACCTTAAAAAAGATACTATGAGCTGAAACTGTACCTCTAGTCCTATACTATCTTTTTGTAGTTTAACTTATCTTAAGCCGATCTTAACATTGTTTATTGCTAATCTAATTTATCATTTCTGTGGTACACACAGACACAGGTATTTCCTACGCCATCATAAAGTACTTCTACCAATAACTGAATAGTCTAATGCTGGGCTATCTCTCCCAAATGTTTCAGCTGTAACTGTCCATGAAGACAGCGCGGCGTTCGTTCACAGCTGACTTACTAAGCATTACGTAATGCACTAGTAACTTAACTAGTACCGTTCACTTCAAACAACACAATAATGAACCGAAGTGGAAATGTAATTAAGTTGTTAGTTTAATGAGATGTCGCTACTGAAGCCATTTCATTTAAATAACCACGCTAATCAGCTTCCATCTTGGACAACGGTAGTGCCTTAGCGTACCTTCTATAAAATTATAAGCTATCTCTAGCTGTCATGATGTCATCACTTCGAGAAGTTGAGATGTTTACGAAAGATGATCGCTCATAATATGTATTTGAAATATGTTGTGCTACAAATTATACTTGCATAGACAATTTTATTGTAGAACAACTGAATGACCATGTGCAAAAAGACTAGAAAAATATGTAACAAAAGGTATTTTAGCATTTTATATTTGCGACTCAGAAACGCATTACGTAAGTGTCGTTAGCTTTGACTCAAGCAATGTATACCTAATATTAGTCAGCGAGTCACAAACAGGTGTAAAAAAGTATTTTAAGTTAATATAAAAACAATTATACAGGCTGCATCACCTTGGTGTGCGCCTTCAGTCTTTTCGAATTTTAAACAATATAACAAAGGAGCAGTCGCTAACTACAGATCATATTGTTGTTTTCATGACGACTTAGCGCATGAATAGCCACCACAGTGGATAGTAGATAACAGCGAAGGTAAATTCTAGAAAATTCACTAGAGCTGTACAATAACCTGGCTCGAAGTCAAATCATTTATTTCAATTATACTGAACATAAGTAAATAAATAGAAAGACACATTCATACACGCAATCACTTTAGCAGGTGAACAATAAAGTGCCGCAGGTATGCAGCTACAGGCAGGCAATGAAGTGTAACCATCTCAGTCTGTCGCTGAGAGCTGAGAGCTGCGAGTGCGACCTAAAATGATGTGTACTCAGGTGGGCAGCCGTCATGAGCCGTCACAGCAGTGCTCACTGATAGTGACTAAGCAACTAAAATTTAATTACATTGTATACAGAAATGATCAACCAATTTTAATGTTCCTTTACTTTATTTGGAATATAATTAAACAATTGTATAAATTGTAAAACTTAATATTTAAGTGGTAGGTAAGGTACCAAATCACATAAATAACTTTGTGTATCGGCTTTTTGCTAAATTGGCGATACCCACTATTAACTGATATACAGATATAGCCAGAAAAATATATCCTACCTACTACTACGCACATGCGTAATATTATTACACATTAATATTTCCTCATGCCTGAAATATTTTTATTCCGGCAGCGAATATACAATATGTATTTAATATTATTTAATGGATGGATGTTTTTCATATAATACCTTAATTACATATTTTCTCAGCTGTTTTACTTAATTAGATGAACTAACTAACTACGCTCATTTCCAACTTTATCATGTTTCCAGTAATGAGTCATTTGATCCCATTAGTCATATCAAAGTTATTTGTGTGGTCGCTTCGCATTATTTATAATTAACATAATTACACTATTTCAATATTCTGGTTCAAAACTTGTGATCATCAATCTTTCAAAATACCATTTAGTACGATTTGGTTACTCAACAGTCGACGGGAATTCAATACGGGAGGTCGTGAGATAAATCTAGTTCCACAGAGTAACAATATGTAGGTACGAGTAGTGCTCGTGGCAATCAATGAGCTGCATGTAGGTCACCAGATAGATCACATGTCTATAACACAACCGATAAAACTCAAGGAGATACAATTTTGAGGAATGACGACAACATCTAATAAAGGTCAATACAGTCGACTACATCCCAAGTAAAGAGTGCCGTCATTTAAAAACAAATATCAATATCGCTCATTCTCAAGTATTTAGTTTTAGCAGAAATAGAACTAGCGATGCGATTCGAAATGTTATTAGATAAACCGTTGAAGAAATATGCAGTAGGAATAGTACTGTACTGTGTGCTAAAATTGTATCGCAGTTTGTGCAAAATGGGTTAATCTATTAAAGTCAGATATCTCGGTGGAACGCTGGCAATGTATTTACAAAGCTAGGATATGCATCAACAGCGGTGCCATTCATGCGCCGGTCTGTTCATTGTACGGGAGATGTATGCGCTGTCTGTTCACTTACATCGCGATTGTTGTCCCATTTAGCCACTTGGCATTTACGTGCACTTTACTATACTTTAACCTTCGAATCTGTATACATTAAAGATCTGTGGTATTCCTTTAGCATCAATATCAAAATAATACCCAAGATATCGGTAGGTACCTATTTGTGTTAATAGGAATAAAACTAACTCTGTGGGCTCTGTGGTGTGATGGTTGAAATGAAACCGCAGAAAGGGCTATGTCCAATTACACCTAAGTATATTGTAACTCCAACATGTATGTGTGTTTAGTTGTTTGTGGTGTATTGCAGCCGCTCTGCAGCTCGCGGGCAAGTCGTGAGAACGTAACACTACACCACGTACCGGTGCACACGCACCGAGCACTGGTCTATCTACCCGCGCCCGGCCAAGGACTGCGCCTGCGCACGCCGTTAACTCGTTATCCTTACACCTTACATTTACATAAATAATACTGATAATCTTGTACCAACATAAGAGCATCCCCCAGGAAAACTTTACGGCAAATATTTTTGCGGATTTACTGTACTTTCTCTGCAACAAGACAACGATTGCGTGTTTCGGTTGGACGTCTCCTTCGCGTGCTCGCAGACATAAGGCACCTACAGATGATAATCTCACATCTACGGCTAAACAACACGTTTACAAGTTATCCGAGTATCTTATTACACTCGACACGATTGTGTCAACGTAAAGCAAGTTATATTGTCGTCGAGAACAATAAACGCATGATGTTATATTGATCGCCACCCACTTCATCTACATGTATTTTACTTGCCAACAAAAGCGCAGCCGGAAAGATATCGGCGGAAGAAAGTGGTCGGTAACACATTTTTCCGTAATCCATATACTTTAACGGAACAGTTTGAGTGCAAATGCACTGCTACTGGCTTTGTACTGGCTAGTGGCTACTGTACTTTGCCCACAAAGAGGCCTCTACGTGCTAGTTCAAAGTGAGTACGCACTGCTTCATTAACATGCTACTCATGCTGTACACCTGTAGAGCAACACTTCGTCGGGTATAAGGCCAGGGATACTACCAGTCTTGTTGAACTAGTAGATGACGTTAGAGGCAGGGCTCTCCAGTATAAGACAAAACGTGTGACGTGATCGATAACCGGGTCACGCAGTGCACTAGCCCGATTTAATTAGCTATCGGTTCGCTCGCTCTCTTCCGAGCATCGCGTCCGTATACTGTTGCACAGATTCACCAGATCAATACGATACAAACAATACAGCTATAAACGCTTATGTTGCGCTTCGCTTGTTCTATTTTCATTACAAAACTAACACGTGTTTCATGTCAAAAATGCCAATCATAGCATGTTATATTGTGAACAAATAGACGATTTAGTTACGATGATCCGTAGATATGACTGTAGCTATAACACAAGCCAGAGAAGTATATTCTATCTAACTAAATGTTGCCAACTATTATCTGGAAAATGTTGGCACTGCATCTGAATGTACCTACAATTTTATGTTACCATGAATCTTGTCGGGGTTTCGCCAAGTTTTCGATAGTGAGTGTGGTGACGTCACTAAAAGTTTGGTATGATTCACCGGCGCTTGCAGATGATTAATACGATCTTTGTACAGTGAACACGCATTAGTGACGCAATGGCGTGTTCTTCTGTGAATACATGAATCGTTATTGTTTTTAATTCGTATTTTCATTCAATAAATTTAGTGATGTAATTCATCAGACATTCCGCTAATGATAGTTAAATATGGCATTATGTGCTATTTATGCGACATCAATTATCAATTAATTGTCGTTTACAAGTATTTTACTAAATATATTCCTTTCGGTACAACTCAGCTGAAGTGCTTCTACTTCCAAAAATAATTCCGATTTAAACGCAGGCCCCTCAAGCGCGATGGGTTGACGTAAGCGCTCTAGCCAAAAACTGATATGGACAAAACACAATTGGGCCACCTGGAGCCTTTCCAAGTGACAAGCAAGCCAGCAAGTATAGTGAGAGCACGAATACTAAAGCACTTACTTGTCATATCATCATTAGGAACATGAATGCTCCGAAAATTACATTGATTGGATTTACAAAGGAAACCAAATTTTTGGTTTAGGTACGTAGATATATTGCAAAATGTGTCGTGTGTTCCTTCGTATTGAAATGTGGCTTGTTTTATCAGTGTGTGTGTGTGTGTGTGTGTGTGTATATATTAAAGCAGACAAGACCTTTAGTTTAGCCTTTCATTGTATAATAGTGGTGTGGGTGCTGGAAGTAGGGCAGCGTGGCGCGTCAACTCATATAAAACGATACGTGCCTGCTGACCTATTAACTGCGCAAACCCTAACGCCAATCGAGTAATGTAGACAGATTCATAAGATCCGAATTACTCATCATATCTTACAATACCGAATCAACCAAACTCTTCTGATCTAGTGATACAAGGAAGCTGATAGACAAAATATCGATACAGGTTCAACACTAAACACGGCACTAAACACGGCTGAGCACGTGACTCTCGCAGTCTCTGATGAACACTGAACACTCTAGCTCATCCATTTCACCAGAGAATCTATGACTAATTTGGAGTTCATTGTGGATACAGAGAGAAAACTGTTGTTTCTAAGAGCTAAACTGCGAGTTAAATAGTACGGCATGAATGATTAGAAGCGATTAAAGTCAGTGACTTGTGTAATTGAAGTGACTTGAAGGATTTATTTTTATCTTAAAAAATGTATGTAGTAAGTTGTTCCACACAATATCGGAGTTGGCATCGGTGCCGCTCCTCATATCGGTCATCGAGCAAAGAAAACAAACAAACCGAGCGAGAGTGCTCATGCGCAAACGCAAGGTCGCGCCCACCCTCGCGGAGACGGCATGATAAACTCAACCGACATCAATGCGCCGTGCACGCCCGCGTTCTATACAAATTAAAGCAATTTGATTTGGCTAATCTCTGTGCCGCACCGCGCTGTTCGCTTCGTTATATTGCTATGCAGGAAGATTTTTGTATTTATTTTAGTTTTCCTGCCATCCGTTATTTAATTATGAATAATTTGTAGGTAATATTTACTTATAACTCTTTGTAATAGTCGTTAGTTTTCGCTCCAACAATTGTAGCTATAATTCTGTTTATTGTTACTGTCGTTAGTGAAAAGTAATTCGAAGTAACATCTCGAGGTTAGTTCGAATTAATAAACAGTTACAAGTACCTAGCGAAGCAATCTGCTTGTTTTATTACAGATACAGTCATTTCTAGTTGAAAAATTACTTCCTAGGTGCCGTTGTATCTACCTCAATGTTGCAATGATTGTCTTGTTCTGTCTGTAGTGTCGTGGCTTCTAAAAGCATGACGACTGAATACCTACTAACGATAAGAACTGGCTTGTAATTCATGAAATGTGAGTGTGTGTGTGTATTATGTTATGTTATAAATAAATTCATATTTGAGGAAAACCCACCGAATAGTGAAACTTTTCCAATCGCAAATCCCAGTAATATGTTGTCCACCTCAGGAAATCAAAATTTTAATCCCAGGACCTCGTTCTTAGCGTCAAACTCTTGTAGAGGTCAATGAAATACGTAAACTTAATAAATATGACCATTACCGATCAAAACCTCTGTAAGTTTTGAGAAACGAAATGTTTCTTTAACCCGACGTGACTGAAGTGGCATTTCATAGGGCCACAAACGAAGAACGAACTATCTTCTATCAACGTTTAGAAAAGGTTGTCGTTAATGTTCGGTTATTCATATGTCCCTGGGAGTCTGGGACGCACCTGAACGAATTATTTCAGCTTTCACGGTCGGTTCTTGGCACCTACTGTTGACCCTCGTGCCAGCCCAGTGAGGGCTTGCCCAAAAAAACCGTGGTGGATTTCTGCTATGGAGTTAGTACGTCTCGGACAAACGTCTCCAATTTTTATCGCACTGATTAGAATTGTTTTATCATGAATAATCATAATCTTCTTAATTATGATTATTTTATGACCAGTAATAAAATATTATATTTTCTCGTTTGTGCAGAAAACCCGGCTTAATATCGCCTGCCTGCAGAGGCGTGCACAGAGATTTGAAGTAGGGTAGGCAGAAGGTATCACATGATTAAAAAAAATTTGGTCTGCATTAATCTCGGAAAATAAAACTCCCGAAACTAGGTAATTAGGTTTAGTAAGTATTTTATTAATTTGTATAAACAAATTAGGTACATAATCATTTTCAAACTATCCGTGTATAAAGTTGATCAACATAGATACCTAGGTATCTATTTTACAAATCTTTTAACTATATAGATACCTACTTTGGAGCGGCGAAGTACAAATGGTTACACATCAAGCTATGCAACACCAGTATAAACTGACCGTTAAATGCATAGAAAAATCGTACAAAGCGAGATCAAGATGACTGGATTATAAAAACAATAATGAAATTGGTACACAACCAGTGCTAACAGACTATACCTATAATCGCAAATCGTAGTTTATTAAAAGAAATAATAAAATTATTACCTTTTTTGAGTTACGCCTAGCCCGGACATACGACACACGCAAAATCGCCTTTGGAAATACTTTCGTTTCTTCTTCGAACGACAATAAGGACAACGCACTCATATTGAATTTATTAAACAACACAAATCACCAGCACAGAGCTCACAGCTAAAATTTTACATAATTTTCGGTAAATTAACAGTTCATTTAAATTATAATTGATTGCATTACAATTTATTCACTTGCACATAAAAACATAACCAAAACAAAATGGCCAAAAAAAACGTAAACAATAAGTTGACCAAAATTAATAGTAACTATTTTCAATCAAAAAACGCTACGTTTTGTTGACTTCTTAAATTAGTCGGATAACGAAGAAGCAGTGCTTTTGCAGTTGTATAGAAATTACCAACCTAACAAAAAAAAAATCCAACATCAGCACGAGAAAACAAGCAAATTGTACCGGCTACACATTAGTACATGCTTCCGCCACCATCACACAATAGCGAGGTGGCGGCGCCACTGGCGCAATGCTCCAATATCGAAGAAAGTAGAAAGTGGTCGTAGTACTTCAATATTTTTTCGATAGATGGCGTTAGTTACCAGTTTTCCAAATTAAGTATCAATAAAATTACGAAATCTCTGTATGATGTTAGTGAATATTCATGTCGTGTTTATGAGTGACACTATGTATTTGACTATGTAGGTTTACCATGATTTTGTAGGGTATGCAGTGCTTATTTGCATGTATGGTGTGCACGCCACTGCCTGCCTGAGTGCGTGCGCGATATGATAACATAATTATTGTAATTGTTAATGCGTACTTACAAACTAAATCAATTGCTTTCAATCTTTCAGATTGAGAGATTATAACTTAATTGATTCGGTATTAAGGACTATTTATCAACGATGACGTGATATTAAGTTTGCTAATAACAGCACACTTCCTTTTCTTTTTAATCAGTCGTCACCTGGTGATTGGCTTTCAATTTAGCCAGTCGATATTTTTTACCTCCCATAGATACTCATAATATTGCTATTGTTAGGCACTTTGTAATATGATGTATGTCTCTAGTCTACACAAATATCGGAAGAATTGTTCATGCAGCTATCGCTTCTGGAAGCACTCGCAAATCTGATGAGAGGGCATAGTACGACTTTGATTAGCTGGCTCCAAGGAACCAACCAATCAGAGCGCTGACCGTGGTCTCATTTCGATTACTTTAAATGTAAAACAACCTCGTACAAGCCCTCAGATCGTCTCATAGTTGGTGGAAATGTTCTGGTTGTGATACATAGTAAATAGGTAGTCGTATACTGACCTCGTCAAAGTTGTCCACCATGAAGCAGATGTGGGGGTATGTCATCTCCTCACCCTCGCCCTTGGTGTCCATCTTGCGGCGACTCGGCGACGCGTACACCTGTACCATAATGCTAGGGATATATACATTTATCAACGGATATTTCAATATTCAAACATCACGTATAACTCATAATATATCTGATACTAAAGTTTGTGGCCCGATGTTTTGGTAACAGGCTCAACTTCATCAAAATGAGGTTTCATAACCATGACTTATACCTTCGTTTTATCTGTTGAAACACCGGCTCCCGGTATAAAACACATTATACCCGCAACTTTCAACAGACAAGAGGATAACTATCAGTATGTAGCATCTGTTATTATTCATTATCATAAAGTTGTTTCAGTCTTTTCATCGACAGCCACCTGTCCAATAGTATAAGTTAGTAGCGAGCATGTTTTTAATTTAATCTTACATGTAACAGGACAATATTATTTCCTGCGATTAGTAATAGTGGTAAACAAAATCCTTTTTACGTCTTTACGCCACCATTATCCTATGAACAATTCGATGCATTTCCTGATAATGACCAGAAACATAGTCAATTATTATGGATTGACATGTATTAGGTTTGTACCTAAAATTGCGACTACACTGTGAAGGATCTGGGAATCCTGATAGACAAAGACTTTTCCTGGGGACTGGGGACCAGCTGCGAGAAGTCAGCCGCAAAATATTTGCGTCAGCAGGATCTTTACGCAGGCTCTGGAACTTTCTGCCAACTGCAACCAAAGTTGCGCTCGCTCGATCACTTCTGCTCCCTCTTCTGACTACGCCGATGTCAGCTATCTAGATCTTACCGAGGAGCAGTTAGATAAGCTTGAGAGACTCCAAAATTTCAGCATCAGGTTCATATTTGGTTTGCGCAAGTATGACCACGTTACCGAATATCGCAATATACTCAAGTCAGTCGGCTGCCAATCCGCCTTCGCCGGAATACTCATATCTTGTCCCTACTTTACAGCATACTGTTCAATCCGTTTGCCCCCTCTTACCTCAAAGAACGTTTCAAGTTCCTAAATGACGCACATTCGAGATCACTGAGGTCGTCAGCGAATCTGAGATTGGAGATGGCCCAGCATTCCTCAAAATTCTACAGCAAGTCATTCACTGTGCAAGCTGTTAGGTTGTGGAATGCACTGCCAGTGTTGATAAGACAAGCTCAGTCGTTGGCTGCGTTTAAGGAGCAAGTTAAGAAGCACTACCTCTCTTCTCTATAATGTCATCATCAAACTTTTATGTGGTCCATAATTATGGTATATTTAAGTGTAAGTAGGTATATAATCATGTATGTATGTATGTATGTATGTATATATGTATGTGTGTATGTATATCTGTGTGTGTGTGTGTGTATGTATGTGTATGTATGTATATATGTATATACTTTACACCAGATGAAATCTGGGATGGCCACATAACGATGATACCTTGACCTAATTTTATCTGTATCACAAAAATTGTATTCACTACTGAATGTCTAGGTATTGCGTTACATGTAGTCAGCCACAGACACGGAATCGAGGTTGACCGGAAAAAACAATTTCTATCTTTTAAGTATGTTTGGATTCATAAATTTGTATGTCACCAAACTGCTGCAATTTCACAACAATATCGTACATAGAAAAGTCACACCCTTCCCCAATTTACCAACAACAAAATTTTCATAATTTTGTTCAGCATTTTAAATGCCTCTAACCAAGCCCAGCAACAATAAAGGGCAAACCATCATTTTCATAACTCGAAGAAAAACGAGTCATTTTCGACCCCCTATAACTTGGTTGTGGATAAAACTTAGGATCCTCACAACTCCTAACAACCAAGCGGATGTTGTACAAAAATTGTTTAATTCAAATGTTATCCATTGTAAAATGTGAACCAGTAATTTAAAAGTTTATTATGCATGAGTAGTTTTGTTTTCAAATTTTAGCACTGGCTCTCACGACTTTTACGGTAGAAGAACATGGGTAGCAATACTGGTTTGGCGTCTTTTTACAAGACAAGTGTTTAATGAGATACAAATACCAAAAAATATTGGCTGTGTACTAAATCAATCTTTTTTCTTCCTGCATACCAAATAAATTGCCTTACCCTAGAGTACATAACACATGGGTAAATTATCGGACATCTGATCCCTGTATATCGATGAATATTAAACAAACGTTTAAATAAAGTAAGATGTTTAGGAACGTGTTTCAAATTAGAATCATCGGCAGCGGCCGTGTTAAGGGCACCGTGTACTCGACTACTCGTACCTTACGCTTCAATCTCCTAAACTCGTTCTCAGCCGGTTTCGGATAGCCTCACCTTACATGGACATTCCTAACGGCTGTTGACAGAAACGTTGCGACATCGTTACCACATTAACTTAATACTATAATATACTCTGTGATACCTACAGCAGTACAGCCACAAACGCCACTGAATACTGAAGGTAGATAGCTGCCTGATGAGGATGACCCAAGTCCATTCCACTATTTGCACCTATGATGGAACTTGACAGGTCACGTATTTTTAACTGTTATTTCACTTCATTTATCTAAGATATTTCTATCAAATACGGACTTTTATAAAGAAGATCTTTACAAATCTTACTGTTACGTTCCAAAAGAGGAGGATATAATATCGTGACAAATGATGTATAGTTAATGATCACCAAATTATCAAATTTATCTATTTAAAAACTTTTTTGCGCTACCGATAATTTCAATTCCTCCTATGGTGATTTCGTGAGATGATTCCTAAGCATTTATCTTAAATCTTTTTTCCTAAAATCCTTTCAAACATACAATTTTAGAGAAACGAATGAGTGAATCAGATGGCAAGCCCTAAAGCGATGGCAATATTTCATTGATGACATTGTATAGCTGCGGCCGGCTTGTTTGTACCGACCGACACCGAGTGCACCCGTACCGGCCGCGTGGAGTGGGGGACTAGAACGTCTCGCTGTGACGTCACACCGCGCGTAATTGCTTCCATTGAGCCGAGCTTGCGCGAACATAGTCGACGACGCCCGAGCGCCGATGTACCGAAGCCAACCGGTGCTACATCTTTTCTAGTACGCGGTCGCCACCGTACAGTGAACACGCTCGCTTGCGGCGACGTAACCATTCAGATAAAATATTTTAGTGTTACCGCGTCTGAAACCATCGCCATACAGTGTAGTGAACTTCGGTGTGAATATTTATAACGTTAGTACTATAACTTACGAAAACGATCGCTCTTTTGTGGTTGTAATTCCGTTTCGTTGCAGTGAGGTGTATATATGCATATCGTTTTCCATTTCGACCTCGTTTACGTGCCTGTGATTTTACTGGATGCGAGGCTGACTTTCCGGCTTTCTATCTGGCGCATATCAGAAACACGAGTGTCCAATCGATGAATCCCCGCGTTCCCGCTGAATGACGGCTCGCACATTGATCGGGTAAGTCCGAATATTGTGAGAGACGCTCCCTATAACGAGCTTTCTATACGCGTGTAGAAAACAAGTCGCGGAACAAGTGACGAAAGAGAAATCAGTCTTCGGTGGCTATCTATAATCGTCTCGTATAATGACAATTTGCAATCTGGTGGGTCGCGCAATGTTTGCGAGAGCGGAGGGCGGAACACTCGGGCTCGGACACGACCGCCGCCGAGCACAACAAACAGCGGTGGCTAATTATTATCATCTGACAATAACGAAAGGAGGGGCGCCAGTGCCGGCTCGGCCGCCGCTCACTCGCGCCTCACAGCCATGCAATCATAACCCTCGGTCTTTGAACCGAACCTCCGTTGTCATTGTTATTTTGTTTACGATGTATGTTCTAGAATCAATTATACTTGTTTACCTACATAAAATATGCACGACTAAATTACGTTTCAAACAGATCTAAAAATAAAATTAAGATAAGACACCACATCTCGTAAGGACATCACGAACAAACTATACTTCATAATCATTAATTCTTACTGTAAAATGCTCATTCTACTATGTTTACTATGGCTGGCGGTTTTTGTGATACTGTCTTTGGACGAAAGTAACAAATTTTTATTAACTTTTTTTTTAAATATTTGTATAATAACTCTAACGATATCAGAAAACATCACGATATTTGAAATGTAATATACTAATACAGTGTTTTCCCTATTTTTCAGGTTCGATCCAACCGAATGGTGATTGGATGACGATCTCATCGCGCTCCCCAGACAAGGAGCCGTCGCCACCAAAACAGATCAACTTCGCGGAACCCCTGGTCGAGTCGGTGCGCGTCTACCTTGCCAATGAGCTGCCATCTAAGCAGCTAGCACTGGTACCGCGCGCGCCCTCGCCGCCGCCTTCGCCATCACCGCCAGCTACGCCGCCGCTCTGCGATGTCGACATAGCCTCGCACACCGCACACGAGGAAATCAAAGGAATCAATTTCGAAGCGCGCCTTAAGCGGAATGACCTAAACAACAACGCGTCACGACAACAGACAGAGCGGCGACACAACGGTGACATGCCCAGCCAAGCAGAACTTATGCAGCGACAACCGCTGCTGGCGCGCACTGTCAAAACAGACGCGCCGCAGCCCACCACCGACGAGTCCGATCCCGACCAGGATCACTCGCCGCAACGCACGCATGCAGGGGACTTCATTGTAGAGATTCCGCCGGGCGCCGTAAGGGAGGAGAGATATCCCAAAGAAATATGGAAAACTATTATATCATTCTTCTTCCTATTTTTATGCGTTTGTGTAAATATGATGTCACTGTCTTTAGTACACGAACGACTGCCAGACAGAAACACAACGCCACCGCTCAACGACATAATACTAGACAACGTCGCAGCACGAGACTGGGGCCTCGCCGTGTCCGAGTATCTCATCATGATATCGACGACAGTAGCCATGCTGGTGGTCGTCTTCCACAAGCATCGGTTTATCGTCGCCCGACGCCTGTTCTTTATAATCGGTCTGTTGTACCTGTACCGGTCGGTCACCATGTTCGTGACCGTGCTACCAGTGTCAAGCACCACATACTATTGCAGCCCCAAAAGTAATAACACTACGCCACTACTAGTCATCAAGAGGATGTTCTACTTAATATCTGGCTTCGGGTTGTCAATAAATGGCAAGCACACGTACTGTGGCGACTACATATACTCAGGACACACAATGGTCCTAGTGCTAAGTTACCTCATCGTAGCAGAGTACTCGCCGAAGAAGCTGTGGCCGATGCACTGGGCCATGTGGGGCTCGGCGCTGCTTGGAGTGTCGTTCGTGCTGCTGGCGCACGGCCACTACACGGTGGATGTGGTGATAGCATATTACGTGACGACACGGCTGTTTTGGACGTTCCATTCATTGTTAGTGACGCCTCACCGCAGTGGCAACGGCTACAACCACTACATGATCCAGCGGGAGTGGTGGTACTGGCTGTTCACGTACCTGGAGCGCAACGTGCGCGGGCCGGTGCCGCGTCGATACGACTGGCCGCTGCCGTGGCCGCGTACAAAGCTCTTCAGCCGGCTCAGCTAGTGACGCGCGCGCGCGACGCTGCCGCCGCCGGAACGCGTATGACGCTCACCTTTTGCGAGTGCCGTTTGAGGACCTGCAGCTCCTTGGGGCTGGTCCGCGTGCAAATGGCCAGCGTTAGCGTATAGTCGAACTGATGCACGATCAGATTAAGGTAGACCGTCTCCTCCCAGTCGATTTCTGGGTCTCCGATGGGCAATTTCTTGGAATCCTTGCGGAACACCTCGACGTCGGTCTGCGAACATAGCGGTCAGTGGTCAGCGGCAGGCGTCGGCGCCCTCGCCCGGGCGCACTCTATGTATATTCGGCTGTGCTTAAGTACGATCGCGTGAACCAAGTCGTGTGAACGCTGCGTGTGAAATGTGATAATTCGCAAAGTGAGCATAATATTTATTTCCTCACGACTATCGCAAACTGTTCTATAGAAAGTGATGATTTCGTAACTGCTTTTATTGTTGAATATAATGTAAGATTTGATTTTATTTGACAAAGAACAATAATCGATCAATTATGTACCGTCGACTGTTGATGGAATTCTTGTTTTTGTAAATTGTATAGTTTATAAGTGGTTATAGAAAAACCTCGAATCAAAGTTGAAACTTACTAAGTATTTATTAGAAATATATATATACTGTGATGAATGTATAGTTGGAGACGAGTGAATGTACTGCGCCCATGACACTGGGAGTGTCCAGGACATGGCGCGTCACAAGTACATGTAGTTGTTGTACCAGCAGCCTACTATAAGAAATAATATTTTTATATTGTTTAAAATAAAGTACATACTTAACTGTTGTTAATTCATACTTTTGTATTTTAAAATTACTACCATCTAGAATTTATAACATCATCATCATGGTGCTAAATTACAAAACAAATTAGCAACCTCCTTCACTACCTAAGCTATACTTGTTCAAGAGCTGTCGATATCTTCCACTGCACTGGGTCACTGCTAGCCATGCTAAACAGTAGCACAATGTTGTTATTGAGCATCGATACACATACAATAATGTCCGGGTGGATTGTATATTTACAAACAAGTGCACCCGCGATGTCCGTAGTTTCGAGACTATTGTGTGTTGACAGAGAGTTTCTTGTATATTGTATGTATTGTTTATTATTTAGCAATACTAAATCACACATATTTATACTACACATAAAACAACATTACTCCGTAGGCCAGTACCTTTCGTATCAAAATGGCATTCTATATGGAGTAATGTATCACAAAGCTAAAATATAACTATTGGCTAATATAATGCACACCGTCTTGTCCATTTGGATATACCTCATTTATGTAACTGTAAAGCAAAACTAAGACAAACATGAATAAACAATTGCCTAAGATGTTTTTTGTTCCACAATTTGTGGAACTGTCACAGAGATGTTCCGTGCGGTAATACAATCATGAATAATTTAGTTGTGCTGGAAGTCCGACTGCTTACTGCTTGTTATCGTTTGCTATAAGCGTGCAAAGTGAATCAACCAGCCGTAGTAACTACGAGACAGTGCGGTGCGGGTGCGGCTAACTACTGACTCACCTCGTACTTGGGCAGGTAGCGGGATGATCCCTTCACGTGTCGCTTTCTAACAAAAAACAACAAGTCGTCACAGTCTATCGACTGCTCCTCTTGGAACAGAAAGTGCCGCACAAACAGATCTGTCCAGTATGTTGTTCCTTGCAGAACTACGAAACCACAATCTGAAAACATTACAAAGTGTTATACGTTACACAGATGTATCCTCTTAGGCTCAATACGATCATCATGATGAATTGATATATTCTGATATATATATACACGACTGTCGCCAAACTGGCTACCAATTCAAACTGTATGTGTTATTAAGTGATCTAAAATCCACGCAGGTTATTTATGAAGTGCCTTCAAAATATGTCATCTAAACTGTCCAACTCTTCATTAGATACAACATGTTGCTGCTTTATAAACATAATTATATTTTCTTATTATGTTTGTCGTGTTATTTTTGTAACAATAGAATTTGGTTTACATAATCTAACAAAATTTTGCAACAGATATTCTGTGAACAAAGTCCAATACGTGACACGTCACAAAATAGGTAAACGTGTGCAAAAATCTTAAACCTGTTAATACATCAAAGAACTACTGTAATGTACGTATGTCTATTAACTACTTTAATGCATTCCTGGGACAACTGGTCCATCATATTACTAAGCAAGTAAACACGAGGTGCACCTAGCGCCCTCCCTGCAGCAGCCCTACCACGGTCGAGTCCTTCCCTAGTACGTCACGTACGTTGACGTGTGTTACTTATAGGCAACTGCCTGACAAATAACATATTTGTTAATGCCTATTTTTATTTCCATGTTATATTTCTACTGTTTTTACATAATTTATAAATATAGTTATCTTGTCCTGCACTTCTTACCTGTTTTGTAAATATTATTTATTGCATTACGTTACGTTAGGTACGTCGGTTAAAGCGAAGATTCATTTGTACCTTATGCTTGTATGAGAAGTATTTAATTCATTTCGTATTGTGTATGTACAGGTAGTGGGCTATCTAATGTAACCAAACCTGCTTGTTGATAGAATCAAAATAATAAATAGGTCTGCCCGGCCTGTGGCTTGTGGTCACTGAATATAATAACAATACATTACATAACGAGGCTATTCAACAGTTGAAAAAGTTGTAATAGTTATACAGGTTATACTACATTCCGGTATCTGAGGTGTAACATGTTCCAATTTAGATATTGTATATGAGAAAAATGTAATAATATAAAGAATGCGCGATTGTTTATACCATGATGTTGTAAAGTTAATTAAATGGCTGTTTTTTCTTAAACCTGCAATTTACCCAATTCCTCTTTCCTGTGAGTTGTAATAAAATCAAATAATTTCCTCAACAACTATAATTATCTACTACAGACTCACGGTTACAGTGAGTGAGGCTTTAAAAAAGAAAAGTTACTCCGCTGAGCTCGACTGTTTCCTAATTCGGCGGCTGGTGGTAGGCAGCCTGGTTGTTAACCGCTTACTACAGGGAAGAAGACGCCATTGATGGTATCATAACAATACAACATAATTTATTTGATATTAAGTAGGCAATCAAGCATCTAGGAGCTTAGGCTTTAGAAAATGTTATTATTTAACTATTGGTATATTTCCGCGTTTTCGAAGTCTTCATCCCCAGCCCCAAGCAATGCAAATACTATAAGAGGTGTGATATAAATAAACGCTGTACGTAAGGTAGGGTTCAGTAATTTCAGTAACGATGGGAGTAATAGTACATGAGTGTCCCTATATTGACACACATTCATGATATTTCAAATGTCAATGAAGTAAGCTGAATTCCCTTGAAGATTCGTGTGGTCGCTAGCGAACTAAGAATTTGAAAATCAAAAAATAACATCGGTTCCAAATATGTAAATAATAATGAGTATCTTTTTATATTTGATGGGCCGACGTTTGACCACTATCTCGCCTGGTGGTAGGCAATGATTGGTTACCAACCACCGGATAGTTTTACTGAATTTCGTAAGTAAAGTGAGACTGCCACGATCAGGGATTCTTTGATAAAAAATGCGCCAATATTGTAAAAAAGTTACGGGGCGGATTTATATAATTTCACCAGCGGAAACTTCTAGTTGTCATAGGTGATCGAAGAGTGGAAGGCTTATATTCCTGGGGGTTGGGAGTTTGGGAGCTCATTTTTTATCCCGGTATTTCTACGGTGATTGTACAAAATCGAGACTTACTCGAGATAAGTTTTCTAAATAGGTATGAAGTTATGTAACTACCACATAAGCAAAGTCGCAGGCGGTAAGTGATCTATTTGTAAGTGAGCGTCAACGCTCTGAATACACATACACACAGTTGTTGAGGAGTGTAACTCAGAAAATTTAAATCAAGTCTTCAGATTTATTGGAGGAGGTTTTTAGTTCTGAATGACGCAGTTGCTGTTGACGCTACTGATATCAGAGGCGGCGAAGACTGAGAACGGAACTGACGGCGGCCTGTTCTTGAGTACTGGACATTATTTTATCCGTGAAGAAAGTGATTCTACTACAGTATATTTTTCATGATGAATATTGGTTACCACTAACAATCAATTTTATTACGATGCGGCGACCATGTCACATCACACACATGTTTTTGTAAGCCTATTTACTTTCGTATGCTCAGTTTATTTTAACAAAGCATAATATAAGCACATAATTTACAAATTAAAACTGCCCTGTGCGAATGAGTCATCGGACTCCCCTGTCCAAATGGACGGTTGAGTTATTAGGTCATGGTTCAATGAACACTAAGACAAGAGCGGGCGTTTATTATTAATTTACAATAGTAACTACTCGTGTACCTTTACTTCGTCCCGCCATCACCATTACAAGACAGTTCCTCTAAGAATTAAGATAAGTAAGTAAAGTAAGAATTATGTTTTTAACTATACAGAATATAAAACTTATGCGTCCTAGTGTCTTAATACTTTTTATGAGGATAAGCCGGTAAACGGCCAGACCAGTGCCTTTAGCCAAACGCCAATTTCTTTAGCGCTTGTGGATGCAAAATGTATGGGGATGACACTGACAAGTGTCAAAATTTACGTCAATTCCATATAATTTGGTTTTCTATTCTACATGTAGACAAGCGCTAAATGGCATTTGGCTACAACTGGGTAGGTTAAGATCACCTGATGGTAAGCAATTAACGCCGCCCATGGACACTCGAAACACTACAGGCGTTAACGCAGGCAACGCACCTGGTTACCGGCCTATTGGGGGTTAGGAATTTGAGGATTGTTAGGGATTCGAGGATTGGGGAGATTGGAGAGGTAATTGGGCTTCCAATAACCTAACTTAAACGACAAAACACAACTCAAGCGTTGGTTCACATCGGTTTTCTGTGAGACCGTGATATCACTCCGGTCGCGATGGCCCATTCTTGCCGAGGCATGGCTCTCCCACAAGTAAATCTATTGTTATAATTACCTTCTTACTTATTAGTTACACATAAATAATGGTGTATCTGAGTATTTATCATGTTTTTTCTTTATTATAGCATTTTTTTATTTCAGGTGGAATTTAAGTGAAACTAGAATACTTTGGATTGTTTCTTAAAATAATGTAATGTTCCCTTAGATTTAGGGGAGGTTCCTTTAGGTGGTTTAGTCACCATAGTTTGTAACTAGGTACCACTAGATAGTTAATAAACATCTATAGTTATTGCAAAATTTGTTTTGCACATTGACTTAAAGCATCTCAAATAAAGTTTGTGAAATAGAATAGGCACAAAGTTTAACTTAGAGTAGTAAGTTCAATAAATCAGTAAGCTGTTCGCTCTAACATGCATACAATATCTAACTTCGCTATGGAGAATGAGTGTGATTGGGACACTGAATGTTGATCCTACTAACATTATAATTTTACTAACTAATAGCCTTCCTCGATAATTGACCAGTACTTCCTGAGATTAGCACATTCAAACAAATTCTTCAGCTTTATGTAATAAGTGAGTATAAAATGCAGACGTTTGCATGTTTGTTTGTTAATTAGTTACTTACTCCTTCGCATTAAAACAGCTGAAGGGATTGGGATGAAATTTAAAACCGGGGTACACTATGATATAGAATAACACAGAGGCTACTTTTTATCCCACAGGAACGCGGGCAAAGCCGCGGGCAAAGCTAGCATTTTATGTATTGATATGTGATGAGAGACTGCCATTATGTTGAACCTTGCACTTAAATTAAACTGTCAAACACCAAGCGGTCACCGGTGACCGCAACCTATTGTACTATAATTGTGTCTACAAAACCGGTACTCGACGAGTTTACAGAGAATTTCGAAAGTTGAGAAGCCCAATAATACTTTGGGAAACCTGGCAATCTAATCAAGTAAAAGTACTTACTAGATATGCTTGTGATCTCTCAAGTGATAGTGCTTTTTAAATGAATACTTAGTAATACTTAACTAATGCCCAAATACTAAAAGGCTACTCAATGTTTAATTGTACTTATAATCGTGCCATTTCTGTCATTTTACAAAGAATTTGTACAGACAGAACTATACTTTACTGTGACTGAAAAGTGAGTAGCATTTGAATATTTGGACACAAGCTTCTTTTTAATTGCCAAGTCCTTACTTGGCCTAGTTATTACAGTACTTTGCAGCCTTCTGCTTACTCTAACCTTCTATAATTGCATGGTAAGATATAATGGAAACTAAACAAGGCAGTCTAGATCATGGTGGTGGTCTGTATGCCTCTCTCCGGTCCTTATATGACAAACATAAAACTAAGTACAAGTAAGTTAGAAGTTAAAATTTGCATACTTTATTTATTAAGCAAAACATGATGATCCATTGTAACTATAACACCTTTGTAAACCATGTTTTACGCAAATAAATGTCTTTATCTTTAAAACGAGCGACCCGCCCTGGCTTCGCATGGGTGCAATATGCTTGTATCATACATATATATATAAACGTTCCTTAAGAAACACTTTGTCTACTAAAGAAATTCGCATCAAAATCCGTTGCATAGTTTTAAAGATCTATGCATACATAGGGACAGACAGACAGCATATAGCGACTTTGTTTTATAATGACAATTACTCAGTATGTAATTATGAACTACCGAATTCTATGAGTAAACATTAAAACAATCGTTAGGTGCCAGACAGAAGCAACTTGATAATAGATTGAGGCAGTTTGGTTTGGACACAGCACTGTTGTGACTTTGTTAACATTGTGACTGACTTGCTGTGACCTGGCTAGCAAATCATTTTCTTTTAAATTACTTGTTATTTAATTGTGGCCTATACATATTCAATTCAGTTAATTTCACATATTTAAGTTTATCTATTAACTATTACAGAGCTAGAAAACAGTTCAATAGGAATGAGTAATGCCTTAAGTTATATTTCCTATGCTTTCCTGCATGTTGTATCTGTCTCCTTGAATAATAAGTGTGCACTTGAATTTAATTTACTGTGTTGTACCACTTTATTCTAAAAGAGTTTGCGCTCCTCCTTTGAATACTATGCAGTATGCCTATTTTTGCATTTACATTTATACACATTAAACACTATTTTTATTTATTTATTTACATATTATAGTACTTTATTGTACACATTTAAGTAGCTTGAAAAACAAACAATTCAAGTAAATATGCATACAATGGGCGGTCTTATCACACAATGGTGTTTTCTTCCAGACAACCTGTAGAGTTAAGTGAATAATAAAAAAAGACTTAATAAAAATACCTACAATACAACCTTCAATAGATATAATTTACTAGCAATATAAATAAAATTCATATATTATATAAAAATATAATAAACTATGTGGGATGTACAAAACACTATATGGGAGTTAGAGGAAGTAGACCAATTGTAACACCATCTTATCGCATCATGATCAATGTTCATATATCATAGTTTGATATATTCAAATTTTAATACAATGTCACCCTTCAGAGGAATTTGTGAAACCTTTACTTAATACTTTTTATTATAATTATGTTGTCTTATATAAAATTGTTTATTATATAGTGTACATAAAATATAAATAAATATCGTGTAGGTATTTTTTAACTTCAAATTATTTTATTTTTATAATATTTAAATACTACTTACAATACTACTTATTTATTGTGTCACTTACCATCCTTCATCAGCTGACGCATCTCTTTGGTCCTTTGAAAATTGATTTCTTCCAGTAATTGTTCAAGCATTGTGGCGCTTTTTAAATAAGTTGATCCTCCTAAAGCCATCTTTCAACCAGTCAGTAGGTACCGTACTTAGCCGCACTTGTTACTTGTTTACGACTCTTTTCTAAACGAACACTCATCAACACGTTACGACCACAGTAAAATTGTAAAATAATAATAATTGTTTCGTAGATTTTGTCATTTAAAACAGCGCTGGACGTAATCAACACAAGGTTTTTGATATCAACTTGCTTATTTATAAATAAAACCTAAACAATCGCTACTTTGTTTTCCATTTCTTATCAGTATTTTTTTTGTTTTCATTCAATTCACCAATCAGTGCCTCAAAAATCTTAACAATCTATGTGAAATGAAAGAATACGTATTGAAAATGAAATGATTCTATTCCAAGGAGTAGGTAGGTAGTGTTCGGAAAATTCTATTATGTCTGATTTTGACTTGACATGACAACTTACTTGACTTTGACTTCAAATCATAGACAACCATATATGATTGTAAACAAGGAACAGTATGTTGATTTCATGAGTTGTATTTATAATGTATAGTCATTCAAGGACGTGCTATCGTAATCAAAGTATCTAATTACATTCCAAATTGTTCTCCATGATTTTGTGTTGGTTAAGTTAGGTCAGGAAACACAAACAAAATTAACTCAATCAAAACACAAAAGCCGCAAACGCCAACAACACCAATCACCAATCCAATAGGTAGCCATGGAAGTCTATCTCATCTCAAAGATATCTCATCAAATCTCATAGAAACTCATGGAATAAGTTTATTAAATTTAATACTAGTTTTTATTCCAAGTAGTAAACCGTAGCGTAGACCATGCCGTAGACTACAAAATGAGATGACATTTGTTATTTTGTTGAAATTTGTTGTGACATTTGACAATTTGACATTTTGCAAAACAGAACTTGAACATTCAGAAAAAAATCCAATCAAAATGACAACTTAAAAAAACTTATAAAAATACAACAATAATAATGTTCTTTTTAGCTTATATTCCGCTTCTTGCACAATATCGAATTAGAATAATACAGTGAAGTTCTACAGTTGATATCCGGAGAGACCGGGTGAATAGAAAAAATGTCAACCATAAGACCTTTCAGATGTTTATACAAACATAGTGTGTTCGCGTTGAGGCACTCGTCACGACTGGCTAGTGCATTGGCGCAGTGGGAATATGGAGCAGAAGGGAACAGTAGCTCGGGGGGCGAGTACCGAGCAAGAGCCGTGAGGACAGCGCTAGGTGCCGGCTCGCTAGCACTCGCGCTGCTAGCAGCTGATCATGTCTTCAATGGTGCTTATACCTAATAAGTAGTTGCATATTGATGTTCGCGAATTCATGGTTACATTACATGGAAAAATTAAGTAGGCTCATTCAATTCGCCATTATCATCAATACCTAAACTTGCACCTATCCAAAGGCCTGCCATTTAGAATGTTGATCTTAAATGGCTCTAATCAATATTGTGTTGTGTGCAGTCATCCCCTCTCAGTATTAGAGCTTACAGTTGCAGGTTGGTCGAGGGTCATCATAATGCATGTGTATTTTATGTTATGTAATGAGAAGCTTGCATGACATTTTATAATTCTTACATCATAGGTACCTACTGTAATTTACTTCATTTAGCCCAACTGAAAGAGAAGGTAATTTGATGATATAAGTAATTAAGATTAAACTGTCAAACACCAAGCGGTCACCGGTGACCGCAACCTATTGTTCTATAATTGTGTCTACAAAACCGGTACTCGACGAGTTAAAATATTTGAAGTATCTGTTCCCTACTTGTTACTCCACTAGTGTTAGGCAACAAACCAAGATCAATTTCAAATAAAGTTATTGTTCTATACCAACTCCACTTCTACACCAGCATCATGCATATACTTCATCTACATATATTTTGTAACAGTTGAAAACACAACACTACACCACATATGTCGCGGAGAACCTAACAGGTCACCGGGGCTCTGGCTCGAAGTGCAGCAGAAGGAACGGGGTGGTTTATAGTCAGTAAGAGTCTGACACACCCTCCCGCCTCACCCAGGCGGGAGCAGTCATTCAATGATTTTACCCCCTTAAAAAAATACAAATATTTATATTGTTAGATTAATATTCAGGCACACCATTTCACAGTTACTCAAGTAATTAAACTGTCAAACACCGCACGGTCACCGTTGACCGCAACCTATTGTTCTTTAATTGTGTCTATAATGACTGTACTCAACGAGTTAATATCATTTACAAATAAAAACCTACTTGATCCCCTTGATGCAGGGTTTGTATCAATGGTAAAAAGTAATTCACACATTTGGAGCCCACAATGCTAAATTGGAATTTACTCAAATAGTGCCTATAACATTTTGATGACTTGGTGGTGATATGACATCACCTTCCATTGGTAGATAAGGAGGATTCTATACTTGTTTATAATAAGTAGACAACAGTTCTTGACCATATCAGATACCAAGCCCTGGGCCCTGACCTCAATTTTATGAAACTTTTATAAATATAAGCAGATAATGGGATATAGGCTGTTGATGATGATGGGAAATCATTATGGCTTGAGAAAATACCCAACTACCTCTATGGGCTCTTCCAAGCAATTGTATGAAGAACAGTTGTGCAGGCTTACTTAGGCGTAGTTTGTATGCCATGTTCACAAGTCACAACTAGTTCGTATATATTTTGTCATATCATGTTACATGTTAGGTTGCTGTATTGGATAGGTACCTATGTAGTTTGAAATCATTTTATTTTGTTCTACTATAAACGTTGGTTGGTGGTAGGAAATAAATAAGAATAAGAAAATTTACTCAATTATAGCCATAAATTGTTTTAGAAAAACGATTCTTCAAAGCTGCTCAGATCGGGAATGTGCAAGAATTACGGAAGTGAGTATATAAACTTTGAGAAGTACCTATCTTAATTCAATGACAAAAGTAACTATTGGACTTTTTAAACATTTCCACAAATTCAGGCAAGTGGAAGCAGTAGCTAGCAACAACAAAAGTGGCCGAGGTGAAAACGAAGCTGACGGAGGCGGCGGTGGCGCAGCCGACTGGCGCCATGCTCTGGGTTGGACGGCGCTCATGGTGGCCGCCGCCAACGACCAGCCGGGCGCCGTGCACGAGCTGCTGAAGATGGGCGCTCGGCCGGACCTGCAGGAGCGGTACTCGGGCGCCGCCATGGCAGCGGCAGCCGCCGGCATGCACCCGCTCGAGGTGCTACAGCGGCGCGAGGACGAATTTTGTAGCACTATGAACGCGCGTGCGTCATTCCTCGGTTGGACCGCTCTGCACTACGCCGCGCTGGCTGACTCCTCAGGCGCGGCGCGCGAGCTGCTGGAGGCTGGCGCCGACCCCACGGCTCGCGACCACGCGGGCCGCCGCGCCTTACACTACGCGCGGGACCCTTCGCCCACTCGCGACCTCATCCTCTCGCACACGCGCACGTGGGAGGAGGCGGCCGCCGCCGCTGCCGCAGAGGAGCGACGTCGCTTCCCGCTGGAACAGCGCCTCAAGCAGTTTATCGTCGGTCAGCAGGCCGCCGTCGAGACGGTGGCGGCGGCCGTGCGACGCAAAGAGAACGGCTGGGCGGACGACGAACACCCTCTCGTGTTCCTATTTCTCGGTAGCTCTGGCATCGGCAAGACTGAGTTGGCGAAACAGTTGGCGCGGTACATGCATCGCGATGACCCGGCAGCTTTCATTCGGCTTGACATGTCGGAGTACCAAGAGAAGCACGAGGTAGCCAAGCTAATCGGGGCGCCGCCCGGCTACGTGGGCCATGAGGAGGGTGGCCAGCTTACGCGAGCGCTGGCGCGGCGCGCGGACGCCGTCGTTCTGTTCGACGAGGTAGACAAGGCCCACCCTGACGTGCTCACGGTGCTACTGCAGCTCTTTGACGAGGTATGTAAACTACCACTACGATCTGAATCATTACACTTCCAGCCACATTGGTAACTGAGATTTGCTATCAATTGCAGATTAAATATCTTTATACGATGACAACGTTGTTAGAAATCAGAAATTGACGATAAAGCCAAGCTGCGTGGCCTGCACTGGGGCTATTATTTCGTTTTTGGCAGCTGCAATTGCGAATCTCAGATTACCTTATTTTACGTTGATTAACATTTAGAAAATATGTCTTAGGGAAGGCTTACAGATGGTAAGGGCAAGTTGATCGAATGTAAGAACGCCATCTTCGTAATGACGTCGAACTTGGCAGCGGATGAGATCGCGCAGTATGGGCTGCAACTGCGGCGTGAGGCCGAGGCACGCGCGGCGCAGCGTGTGCGCATGGCGCCTACAGTCACCGTCGAACAAAGAGGTGTGCCCAGCCTAATGAATTTTTTTTCATTGTTTTATGGTGATAAAAGACCGTGGTTTTCGATTTCAGTAGGGTCTCACGATGCAAACGGCCAGAGCGGGCCACCCGAATCTAGCGACCCGGAGGAGTCACTAGAAGTGTCGCGAAACTTCAAGGATAGCGTGGTGCGACCGATACTCAAGCGCCATTTCGGCAGGGACGAGTTCCTGGGTCGTATCAACGAGATCGTGTACTTCCTGCCGTTCTCGCGGCAGGAGCTACTGACTCTAGTGAACATGGAGCTGAAGCTGTGGGCGGAGAAGGCGAACGCGCGGCACTCCGTGGATCTGCGCTGGGAGGGCGGCGTGCTGGGCGCACTGGCTGACGGGTACGACGTGCACTATGGCGCGCGATCCATCAAGCACGAGGTGGAGCGCCGCGTCGTCAACCAGATCGCGCTGGCGGCCGAGCGCGGCGCCCTGGCCCGCGGCTGCGGCGTGCTGCTCACTGAGCGCGCCGGCCGCGTCGCGCTCGCAGTGCGCCGGCCACAAGATGCCGACTACACGCCACTAGACCTCGCCGCACTCTGACTACGCTCTAACAGCTATTCATTATTTAGTACTTAATAAAAATTAATACAATCCTGATGCAGCTTTCTTATTTTGCACTGCAACATCCCCTACTTCCCCGCGTGACTGTGATAAAGCTGATTGTCAATTATACTTATCTCTATAGCTTCGTGCGACCGTCGGTCATACAAATTCGTACAATATTATTTTCCGATATTAGATAACTGTCCAGTACCAACAGTAGACGCATGGGCGGAACGAATTATTGGGTATTTGTCTGAATCCAGTCTAGAATGTTGTCTGATTTTAGGTAATAGGTACTCATACTCGCACAGCACCCAGTAAAATCGTGACATCGGGATCGCAGTCTTCAGATATAGTAGTTTCACCTCACTGCAGTGTTGCCGGGAAATGCAAGCAAAAGACTTCGCTCGGATCGTCTCTGAATACAGGTGGTCCATACGGATACCCGCGTGTAAAATAAAATACGTACATATGTAGGCATTCTTTTTTTTATGGCTTAAGCTGGTAAACAAGCCGACGGATCACCTGACGGTAAGCAATCGCCGTCGCCCATGGACACCTGGAACACCGGAGGCGTTACAAGTGCGTTACCGGCTTTTTGGGGATTAGGAGTTTGAGGATCGTTGGGGATTCAATGATTGGGGAGATTGGGGAAGGGGAGGGTAATTGGGCCTCCAATAACCTCACTCACACGACGAAACACAACGCAAGCGTTGCTTCACGTCGGTTTTCTGTGAGGTCGTGGTATAACTCCGGTCGAGCCGGCCCATTCGTGCCGAAGCATGGCTCTCCCACACTTAGAAAAGGTATCTACTACTTCAGTGTACTATTACTATCCTGTGTATAAGCTAATCAAGGCAAACTTAGATCATGGGTGGCGAGGTCGAGACACGTCATTATTAGCGATGTGACGTGGGTGGGTAGGTAATTAGATACTGATTAGGTACTTAAATACTTAGAAGGAAGGATCTTATTATAAGAAACTCCAGTGCTGGGCCCTGCCGCCCTGGTGCTACATTGAAGACCGTCTGAGACGATCAAACAAAACCATTCAACCCTGGATCTTATCCTACTATTTCTACTAAACAGTTCCATGGTGGAAAAACCACAGCATTCGATATTATATTCTATCTTTCATGAAGCAGACTTCGATAACTTTGACTTTGGTTAATAAATATTTCAAATACAAATAACAGCAGAACCACAGATATATTATTTTATAATATGAGCAAAACCATTGAGTAAGGTACCTTAACCTACCAAGCAGCGAGGGGGACTGGGATGCCGTCTCGTCCTTTTGCGAAGCAGTCATGCTAGCTAAGGAGGAGGCGGGACGCGTGAGGCAGCGAAGCGCTGCCTCCTCGCAACTCAACCATCGCGAAGGACACACCGGGCGTCGGGGATCGCGGGACGATCTCCGGCCACCGTAAGCGCGGGCCTGCGGACATGGGTGGCTCCTCGTCCGACCAGAAACAGACCCGAGCGTACGGCACGTCGCGTTCGGCGCGCGCCCCAAAGAGCCATCAGACCACGACAAATGGGGCCCAATAGGGCCGATGCCGATTCGGAGTCGCGGAGAACCTAACGGGTAACCGGGGCTCGGAGCCGGAGCCCCGGTTACCCGTTAGGTTCTCTAGGAATAGGACAATGTATACAATAAATAAAACAATTTATGGTAAGTGCTTATTTTATTAAACTTCGCACCGTTATATACAAATATAATGTAATAATGTATAAATAAATAACAATTCTTTACAAAATATAATCGATTATGTGTCGGCGCGGCTGAGTGCCCGGTATGGTCGAGCCGCGGCGAACAACTAAACACGAAGGCCTCTGGTCGTGCTGGCCACTCAGAGCCAGCACTTGTGAACTATAAGATAAACAATGATACATAGCAGCCGTACATGGGGACGATATACGATATGTGGCAGACTGACGAGCGCATCACATTCACTCTACGCAAACGGGGGTACTTACACTAGAACGTCACGTTCACATCATTGACATACCTACCGAGGATGCCTAAAGTTGTAATTTTTTTAAATGTGCTGCCGTCTATGGTGCTATATTGTTCTGCATATTTATGTCAATATCTAAGCAAAAATAATACGAAAGGGTGTTTGATACAACGCGCTTTTTTATCAAACGCAAATGACGTATACAAATTGTATCTATATAAATATACATTAAATATAGATCTACATAATGGTACCTACTGTAGACAGGACTGACACTTACTTATTAGTTATGTAACGCATGCGTGTTGGAAGTAGGTACTTAAGATGGCCATCAGGCGGGCGTTACATTTGTCGCTGTTAATATTTTAGAAAAGGTGATGAATGCTATCCGTTACGAAGAATACAAAATGAAGCACCCGGTGCCCTGCTTCTAGATATGTATTTATAATATATCTCTGGAGGTACCTAGGTAACTACGTATAGGTGAGTCACGACGCGCTCGTCGTCCGTCTGTGATACTGACAGACACTCACGTCTTCACATCCACAACTACATATTCCTGATGCCTCTTAATATTGACTAGGTATTCTCTTTTCTTACTATACAAATAAATAAAACTTGTAAACACAGCAGAATCTGTTCGAGCTCAGATGTTGATTGAATCGATTTAAAATAATGACAACACTTTATTAACACCTATTCGTTTACCTTCTACTTAACCTAACGTGTCTTACAAAAAGTCAGGGTATTACATACCGGCATCGGATATTTAGGTAAGTAGGTATAACATGTTTCTTTTAAAAATCCCTGTTTCATATTGTTCGTCCTCACTTATTATAAAAGTAGCACTATTTCAGTGTGCGCCGACCGAGTAACTTATAATTGGAAAACTTTCTGGAACACATCATGATTATATTTAGTAACTTATTGGCTATTAGTAGATGCCTTATATTACTAATCGCCACTGTACAAACAGGGGTTGACTGATTCGTCTTTATCGGATAATTAAGTAAGTAAGTAGAAGTCTGGAGAAGTGTCGGGCCAAACGTGTAACGAACTTACAAACGGTGGATACTACATCTGGGCCTCGGAGGCTGGTGCTACTACCTATTAGATATTCACCTACGTGTCGTGAGCTGGAGGTAGAATATCTCCAAAAAGTTATGCATTACATCATAATGTTATCCTGATGATATCACAGAAACGTCTTGTTCTTTCCACGAAGTCTAGAAATACTTAGTGGAGTCGTGACATATCTAACAATATTGCAAAATAAATAAATACTTATGTTGCTCTTTGTGCTAGTCAACCCACTGCCAGTACCTACTTCAGATAAAGTTATCTTAAAACGTATATAAAATAATTTCTTACAAATGCAATATAATAAAATCCTTATTCTACCTACACATTACAATATTTTTGTAGCTACTTAACTAGTTGGTGTTTGATAAAATATGTCTTCGTTATAATATCTATTATAGGAAGATAATCCGCTAAATATCGATAGTAATATTGTGTTCATATAATGTTAGCATGCACTACACACATGGTCATGTACCAGTCTACTCTACCGATGCCTAACTCTTACAGTTGGTCAACCGAATGCTGTGGCCGTCTTGTTGGGATGTGCTCATGTGCTACAGTACTCTACCAGCTGAGTGTGGCTTTGGGTCCCAGGCAATATGATGGTCTTCATGTTTTGACAATGACAAATACTACGTGGGAATGATCACTCCCTGCAGGTGTTACATAAGTATTATACAATTAAGTACTTAATACGGTATGTTTTCAGTGCAAACTACTGATTGGTTTTCTTTGTCAAAACACCATAATTATGATTAATTAATTAATTTTCTTCTCTCATTTAACTAATACAGCTACAGCGCAGTGCGATTAGCAAATAATTGTGCTGTTCTGGAACGGACGATGATAGTGAGTTCAGACGCCTCCCTCTGGCGCCGGGCCCTAGAGCCAGCCGGCGGAGTGGTGCGGCGCGTGGCCGTGCAGCGGGGTGACGCCCGCCAGCCGCGCCAGCGCCGCGCAGCGCCCGCAGGGCGCGCCCTCGTCGTCCGTGGGCGGCGCCTCGCCCGCCACCTCGCTCGCCTCGTATCCGCAGCGCCCACACGCCTCCTGAGAATCGTCGACACGCGACTCAGCACCATCCGCCGTAACTCGAACCCGAGCAGGCTCATAGAGCGAGCGCCCCACCTTATGTGCATCGTCATCCAAGCTGGCCAGGAGCGGCTCCCGGCTGCCGCCGCGGGCCGCCACGCTCTCGGCCGTGGTGGAGGGTGATACGGAGGCTGGTGGCGGAGGCGGGCGCGGTAGCGGGCCTGCCAAGGGCGGCGGCCGCGCCGGCACCGAGCTGGCGCGCTGCAGTGCCTCTGGCCCGGCTGCAGCGCGCGCTTCCGCCCCCGCTCGCCGCGAATCCGAAAACTTCTTGCGCTTGCGTTTGAGTGCTGCGAGTGCGGACAGCGGGTGCAGCGGCCCGCTGCGAGAAGTGCGCTCCGGACTGCGCTGTGAGTCGCTGCCCGAGTCGGAGCGGTCACTGCCACTAAACCATAAAACTCAGCTTAAATATAGGTATATACCTAGTAATAAGCTACTATCACGCGGTTCCTACGGCTGCTCGGCTCCTATTGATCGTGACGCAGTGTTTTATAGCCTTCCTCGGAAGATAATATAAACCAATCCAAAACCTCATCTTGTAATTTAAATATAGACGTGTAAAAGTGTTACTTTGTAACCTATTTGCAGAAATATATCATTTATTAATCAAGCCAAGCCATCAATCAATTATATCTGTCTAAGTACTTAGCACTAAGAAAGGATTTTTTATAATTCCACCCGGAGGGGAAGAAAGAGACGTAAATTAAAACTTTTTTCTGAATCACTTTTTATCAAACCACTGAAACGATTTAAATAAAATTAAACAAAAAGGTCATAAAATACTTTATATCCCGGAAATCTCACGGGAACGGGAACTATGCAAGCAAAACCCGTGACAAGTAACGTGTGTGAAGCGATAAGTAAGCGAAAGATTGGGAGAGTATATTCTATTGAAGAGGGCAACCTCTTAGTTTTTTTTTTATGGAATACGAGGCAAACGAGCAGATGGATCACCTGATGGTAAGCGATCAGCGCCGTCCATGGACACCCGCAACACCAGAGGAGTCATAGGTGCGTTGCCGGCCTTTTAGAAAGAAATACGCTCTTTTCTTGAAGGTTTGAAGGTCGTATCGGTTCGGAAATACCGACGACAGATCATTCCACAGTTTTGCTGTGCGAGGCAGAAAACTACGTGAGAAGCGCACAGTTGTGGCCTGCCAACCATCTATATGGTGGGGATGTATATTCTGTCGTGAGGGTCGATGGCGAAAAGATGCGGCAGGTATCAGGTCAAACAATTCCTCAGAGCACTCCCCGTGGTATAAGCGATAGAGAATGCACAACGAGTCTACATCTCTACGCATTGCCAAAGGGTCTAGCCGGTTTAAAATATCCGGACATCCAACAATCCGAAAGGCACGCCGCTGAACGAGGAAGAAGCTGGTACTGGGGTGCCCCCGCCCAAAGATGAGAACAGTATTCCATATGGGGCCGCACCTGGGCCTTATATAGAAACAGGCGGTAGGCCGGGGTGAAATACTGTCTCGATCTGTTGAGCACACCAAGCTTCCTCGAGGCTAATTTGGCCTTATCCTCTAAATGACCGCAAAACTGGACGTCGCTCGAAATGTTGACACCAAGTATTCCAATACCGGCTGAGGCAGTTAGAAAGGTGCTTTGAAACTGAGGAGAGACGACCAACGGCAGTTTCTTAGCGGTAAACACGCAGACCTGTGTCTTAGTGGGGTTAAACTGGATCAAATTAAGTCCACCCCAATCAGAGATTCTCCCTAAAGAAGTCTCGATTTCAGACATAAGTCTGTTTCGGCTCTCTATGACGTTTTCCCGAGAAATGTTAGAGCGGCCGGTGTAGTAGGCATCGCCTGTGCTGTCATCCGCATAACAATGAATGCCGCTGATTTGCAACATGTCATCGATATGAAGGAGGATCAATGTAGGCGACAGCACGCAGCCTTGAGGGACGCCTACGTTTACAGACAGCAAGTCAGCTTAGTGGTTTGGGGTCGAACTTCCGGGATTAAGCCTTGGTTAGGAGGACTTATTGTGATCGCCTGTTACTATGTAGGTACCTACTTGTTTACCCTGTTGATTTTTTACGCTAATAACCGAAAGGGTGAGGGTGACATTTTCCAAATCATAATATTTTGAACTCACCTAGGTGTTTGTCGCGCATGATCGCAGACAGAATCCTCAGACCTAGAGCGTCCAATGAGCCGCGACACACGCGCAGCACGAGCGGCCTCGATGATAGTGCCCCAGCGACGCTTGTGCGAGGCGGGCTTGCGGCGCGCGGCTGCCAGCCCAGCGGCACTGGCACCGTCCGACAGGCTGGACTGGCTAGCGCGCAGCCTAGTGCCCAGCAACGCTGTCAGCGAGGCGTGGTGCGCTGCGCCGTGCGAACCGCCGTGCTCATGATGCAGCGAGGCCAGGAACTCGTCCACGGGTGCCAGCGACCCGCCCGGAGCGATGTTAAACCCTTTCATGAGTCTGCGCTCCTTCTGTCGGTTCTTTTTACCGCCTCCGCCGCCTGTGTTGTCCACCATACATGTGACGTTGGTTGTAATCATTATATTAATTTCTATTTATTCTTACTACCTACCTAGGTGTATCCATATATCATATATGTGTATAAAAACGAATTCAAAAGCCTGGCAACCATTAATTTACATACCTATATTATACAGAGTGTTTGGCGCATGGACCGACACAATATTTGGCAGGTCATTAGCTACCTTTTACCCATAAACCCTTCGTCCCAAATGTCACGGTGTTTGTCTGTGACTTGTAGCATGCTGTTACAAAGGGTAACATACACTAAGGAACTAAAACAAAATTAAGATCCAAGTGGCTTTGATTGTGTTTTTAAAGGTTGAAAATCATCGAATGACTTCTCCCGCCTGGGTGAGGCAGGAGGGAGTGTCAGACTCTTACTGACTAAAAACCACCCCGTTCCTACTCCTGCACTTCGAGCCGGATCTCCGGTAACCCGGTAAGTTTTCCGCGGCTCCGAATCGGCATCAACCCTATTGGGCCCCATGTGGTGGTCTGATGGCTCTTTGAGGCGCACGCGGAACGCAACGCGCTGTACGCTCGGGTCTGGTTTTGGTCGGGCGGTGAGCGCTTATGGTGGCCGGAGATCGTCCCGCGAATTTCCAAATGGCTAAGTTTTATACAATTAAAAGTTGGGAAATATCAGACGTGTGAATGAAAAATTCCGCTTGGGAAACTTGTACTAAGATTTTTGTAAAGCAATTTGTGTCAAATAAAGACGTACTAAGATTTAATGGACTCTGGAGTACACAACAAAATTCATTTTGGATCACTAGATATATAAACAAACAGGTTATTTTGAGTTAAAGGAAACATTTTGAGTATTTTTTATTTAGTATGTTTTTGATGATCACTGATCTGACCTTAAGTACTTACCTATATTCCGAACAAATAAATATGTAAAAAAATGTTAACCAAAATTTAATTTATAGTAAGCTGGTGACACCCCTAAAATTTGCAACGCCTGAAAAAGGCCGTTAAGCTGTGCCTGTTTTTTTCATAAGACCTGTATGTATTACCTTAACATGCAATAAAGAGTTTGAGTTTGAGTTTGAGTTTGATCATTATCAACCATGCCACAAATGTCATGTCCCAAAGGACATGACATTTGTGACCTATGGGATATGGGACCTTCCAAATCTATGAAAAAATGGGTCGGTCCATACGCCAAACACTCTGTATTTAAAAATAGATATTGAAATCAAACAGCGGGAGTCTTTATATAATGTGCATAAGTACATCGTAATGAGGAAGTCAAGGCTTAATCTTATCAAAAGAAATAAATAAATCAAATGAATGTGCTGAAATATAATGGAAGGAATGTCTAGTTACAAAGGAGAATGAAGAGAGCGGTGGGTTACCTGGAGCTCCGGCGTTAACGGTGGAGGTGTTCATGCCGGAGTTGCGCAGGATCTCGACGAGCTCGCAGCGGAAGGCGCTGACGTCCTGCTTGATCTCGTTGACGTCGTCCTCCGTCACCCCGCCGCTCTCGGCGCGGCGCTGCTGCACCGTCACGTAGCGCCTCACCAGGTTGCGCATTATACCCTGTTCCCGACTCTTACGTTACTGTTCTGCCTTGCCATTAATAAACAAACAAAAATAGAAACGTGCCAAATACCTCACCCACCTGATAACGGTAATCCCGCTCATTTGCTTGTTTAGCTTTTCTCTGTAAAAGAAAATCATCCAAAATATGACAAAAATTAATGCAACGTTTGCCTGATTCGACGGTGGTTAGCTATATCTAGGTAATCGTGCGGCAGACATAATAATTATAATGGTACCCGTATGGTGCGCATGTGCTCGCGCTTGGCGCGCGCGTGGCCGCACAGCCGGCGCTGCAGCCAGCGCCAGGCGTACAGCGCGGACTTGGGCGACGGCAGCACGTTGAAGGGCGGCGGCGCCGTGCCGCCCTCCTCGAAGTAGCTGATCCACAGCTTGCTGCGCGCGAACTTCCACTCCACGTCCGCCCGCTCCTGCAATCAGGTGATGAAACTTCAATTTTGTCCCACCGAAATCTAATCGAATCGAAATCTTATCAGCATAATAATATGATTTATTTATTTTAAACGAACAGAAAAAATAAGTATCTTACAGAAATAAGTTGGTAGGAGTGGTTCATCATGGCGATGAGCAGGTTGAGTAGCACGATGACGTTGATCACGGCGTAGGTGCCGAACATGAGCATACCCCAGAACCGTGTGAAGATCTTGATGCCGTCCAGTTCGAACGAGTCCAAGTCAACCAATCCGAACGCTGCCCAAAATAGCGTTTGCATAGTCTCGAACAAACTGCAGCACAATTATACTTTTATGTTTTTTAATTTATTTATAAGCAGCTTTTCGACTGCGTTGTTTGTGCAAAAAATTAGTAGATCACACAACGAATTATTTTAAGCGAGAGTCAAGTCAATACCCAATTACCCAATACATTGTGCATTGGGTAATTGAACGTCAGAAAAGGCAAGGGTAAGGAGTAAGTATATACGTCATGTAGTGTTATTACTTGGCAAACCGACGCCACACGATGCAGGCATCAGGGTCTGGGAAGGTGCCGTTGGCAGTGAGCGAGGTGCCGCCGGTCGTGCAGCGCTTCTTCTCCATGTCCGCGTAGTACCACAGGAGCTGGTTCAGACCTGCCGAGTGTTAGTCGTCGCCTGTATTAGCAGTTAGAATCTAGCGGCACTCTAATGGCTCCTAGCCGTTTCCCAATTAATTTGAAGTCAGCGTTATCTAGTCTCGACTGAATGTCAGTGTTTTACATGGAGAGACTGTCATTTATTCTCCACCGACCTCTAAAAGTGATAATACGTATTACAACTTCATTTGTAATAAGTATGTGTAACGAATTTTATTTGTATATAAATACAACACAGTGGGTATGCAACAATTATTATACTATCGAATAATTTTATTTTGAAAAATCTACTTACTATCACCTTACCACACTTCATATTTTTGTCTAGCCCTATGAATTTTTTTTGGTTGTTAAGTGACTCTTGAGACAAACAATACGAAGTCGGTTTTCAAAAATGCATTTTTCTAATAACATATATGAAATTAATCATTATCTTAGCACACTCACCGCATGAAAACGCAAAGATCACCAATATGTCCAGGACGAAGAACTTGAGAATGTCGAGCACCATCCGACTGAGCGACACTTGCAGCGGGCCCAGGTGAGGGTTCACGCTGAAGATGTACACCAGCTTGAGGCTGCTGAATATGTTGGCTGCGGAGAACAGGCCCTCGGACAGCAACATCGGGTCCCAGGCGTCCCACTGCTCACGCGGCTGGTTCCACTGCATGCCGGCTGCCATCTCCCGCCGCACCTGTCCATGTCAACCTAGCGCTGTACTCGTGCACTACTACTATAGCAATACTCTGCCACGTACGTTAATAATACTACTTCTTCCGTTTTACCTGAAAGTGTGAAACGATCCGTAGCGCGACCGTGGCGACGTACAATGAGTTCGTTACAAAATCGATCACGTTCCACATGTCGTGCACGTACTCCCGGAGCCCCATGTCCCACAGTTGCTTCACCTCGCTCCATATCAAACCTGCGCCGAACGATATTATGCACTTGTTTAAGTCACTCTACATGACGCAGGCACGAGTACTCTACAACACCATAAAAGTAATACTGACCGCTAACCCACGCAAGGATAAGCCATTCGACGAGTGAGGGCGGAGCACCGCGCCGAGACAGGGGCTCGCCATGTGGCGCTGCGCCCCATAGCAATCCTCCTGCCGCAGTCTCGATTCGCTGCGATGCCAGTATCAGTAGAACTGAAATAATATCGGATCATCTAGTGTAACATATCTAGAATCAATGATAGAATGAGGTCTAATAATGTAGTCTAGTGATAAACTTGTTACAAGTAGTGAATATTCGAGAGTATTTTACATAGGAACATGAAGTAGCTCGCGGAGTGGCACAGGAACTTGATGAAGGGCTTGCGCAGCGTGCGGCCGGCGGAGGAGTGTGGCGCCACGATGTACGCGAGCGAGTACAGCGGGAACATGGCACCGATGCGCACCATCTCAGCCGCCTGCAGCAGCATGTTCTTGCGCCGGAAGCCCGGCACACTCTCGTACCAGATGGACGCCAGCAGCTGCTGCACGTTTGGGTGCGCCACGAACTGCGACATAATATGATAATTAAAGTCACAGCGAGTACAAACACTTGTACTAGCTTATCACTGGAATGGCTTCATCTATTTTGACGGGACTTTATTGGCAAGTAGCTAATGTACTAAGGAGTAACATAGGCTACTTTTATTTTAGAAAATTTAAATACCAAAAAGGGTTATGCCCTAAAATTCATATTCTATGCGGACAAAGTCGCGGGCAATAGCTAGTACATACATAATAAAACTGCGTCTAGTCTCCATCCCAGCAGCAGGAATGAGTTTCTAGTGCAGTAGAAAAGCTTCTCCTAATTTTTTTAAACGTGAATATCACGCAATTTTAAATATGAATAGACGGACAGAAAGTCTCCTCAACCGCTTAAATGCCCGTGTATAAGACACAACAGAAATTACATTGTGTCTCGCGCGGATCCACGTTTAGACACACGATGGGGAAATTTATGCACGAGTGTATTTCTATTTTTTTTTATTGGGACAAGTCGGCTACCACCTTCCAACACCACTAAGTACTACTCCTGTAAGTCATGATCTACAGCAGGCTCGGTTATTATCAATGAAGGAAACAGAATGACTTAAGGTTTTATCAGCACGAAAAGGCTGCACTGAGGAAAGCCGAGCCCAGTTTGCGAACTTCACGAAAATTAACTAAACTTTATTAAGTGGGTGAGTAATTTAGTTATTACACGAACACTTATAAAATCGTACCTTTTTTTGCCTTAGTTTTATAGCAAGTTTAAGTCTAGAGAGGCGCATCCTCTCCGGCGCGCCTGGCTCTGGTAGCGGTACTTGTGGCGAACCCGTCTCGTGGTTGAGCAACACTTGCAGTTCATGCGAGGTGCGCGTGTGGTCCAGCAGCGCCGTAGCGAACTCCTGACACTGCGTGCGCAGCTCCTGATACTCAGTCTTAAACTCATGCTCGAGCGCCGAAAGCCGCCGCAGCTCCCACGACAGCTCGAATGCTGTCAATATGGGGTCCTTAGAAGAGAGCGCGATAAGTGAAGGAGAGGCGAGCGCACGGTACGCGTTGATGCGCGAACGCGAGTGGCGCAGCGAGTCCTCGCGGCGCGAGCGCACGCACTCGTCGCAACCACAGCGCACGTCGTGCGGGACCGGCAGCGCCGCGCCGCGGTCCAGCAGCAGCTTGATGATCTCGTAACTGTCGCGGTGCGCCGCCAGTATCAGCGGCGTGATGTCCGCCGTGAACGTCGCCGTCTCCGGCGGTAGCGCCTCCCAACTCTGTAATATGTCAACCTCTCGCCACAGTTGTTTGTCTATGACATTCGTCAAGTAGCGTCAAGCTCGCGAGATAGGAACCAGGTACTCACATTAGGCTCGCCAGGCTTCCGTGTACGCTCCTCATGGTCGAGCAGCGCCTCTACAGCCTCGACGAACTCCTCAGAGATAGCATGCAACAGCGCATCGCGCGTCTCCACGCCAAACTCCAGCAGCAGCTCCACCATCTCGAGGTTCTCGTTGTCGATGGCCATGAGCAGCGCGCTGCGGCCAAGTGGCTCGACGCAGTCGACGTTGATGTGGCCGGTGTCGCGTGCCCGCTGCAGCACTCGCCGCGTGCCCGCCACGTCGCCACGCTCCACGCCCAGCAGATATTTCTTCTCCTCCAGCGACAGCACCGCCATCTCCTGGTGCGGCCGCACCACATTTTCCTCCTCCGTCATTCCATGGATACTGTGCCGCTACAAACATAGGTAAGTACATTTGATATTGAGGAGATGACATAAACTGAAATGTAAACTCATGTCATACTTGCACATATTTACGTCGACATGAGTTTAAGCAAATCTTATACTATTATATAAAGTTATAGTTTGTTTGTTTGTTTGAACGCGCTAATCTCTGAAACTACAAGTCTGATTTGAATAATTATTTTGTGTTGGATAGCGCATCTATCGAAGACATAAAACATCACTCTACGACCAAGCTGAGCAGAGCGTGTGAAACCGCGCGGAAGTAGCTAGTAAGTATATATATATTGAGTGCTATATAAATCAAGGCAGCTCAGCTGGATTCGAGAACAAGAAGCTACTTGATGTATTACGATCACGAATACCTAATTTCGCGATCGTAATGTTACCCTACATGTACACCGATCTAGCGACATAAATATAACAATATCATCGATCTCCCGCCCTGGCAATACTTCAGGGAGCAGTTTACGCTAATGAAAAGTGTCTCGTGCGGTATTGCTTTACCGTACATTATGTAGGTACACTCAGACAGACATGACCGGATATAGATTATATATCACAAGTCACCTAAAGACGTGATGGCGTCGCACCGTCGCCGTCACTTCCGTGGATCTACTCATATAGCGTAACCGACCACAATCATAGAGTGTAGGAACAATGTCATGTCATGGAACTCTGATACTAGACATAATGTATTCTAGTATATTATAACCAAAGGGTTTGGCACGCGACGATGGTAAGAGACCCGACGGTATGTCCATTATGCCCTGGAAGCTGGGAAGTTCTTTGGTGTGGGACGCAACCTGCGTCGACACCCTTGCACCTTTTCATCTTCCAGTAACGGCGGGTTGTGCTGGTTCGACCGCTGCCTCTGCAGAAAACCTCAAGCGGCACAAGTATAACAACCTTGCTGGTAGTTATATCTTTGAGTCGTTTGGGGTTGAGACGCTAGGTCCGTGGGGTCCGAGTGCGCTTAAATTATTCAAAAACATTTCAAAACGTCTGGTTGACACATCTCGTGACCAGAGGGCTGGTCTTTTTCTCGGTCAGAGGTTAAGCATTGCCATACAACGTGGCAATGTTGCCAGCCTTCTGGGTACTTTCCCCACTGACGTCGATGCGGACGAATTTTTTGATGCTTTATGTAAATAGTTGTTTTTGTTTTTCTTTTATATAATTTTAATCTTAAGTTGTATATATTTTATTAATAATTTAGTAATAGTTAATTTTAATATTATTTAAGTTTTATTGGAAATTTAATAAAGAATACATATGTATTGTACAATTAATGGAGTTATAATATATACTGTTCAATTGCGCATAGCAGCGTACAACGGACAGTATAGAGAGCATAGTGTACGCAGAGTCCGTGCTGGACACAACACGGAGCGCTGCCACTAATTATGCAAATGGGTCGCAGGAGGTGGAGAGCCTCGTCGCTTCTATTCGTGAGCGACGAGGTTCTCCACCCCGCCTCCTGCATTGAATGTGTTCAAACCGAATCACTTGTTCGAAATAGCTTAGCAACTGATGTCGCTTTGACAAGGTACTCCGGTCCGACAGTGCGGCCCATATTGTGCAGCTGTATGAAGCAATAACAGAAACGGGCCGGCCAGACGTGTCCGCAGTCGATGACTAAGTGTTGCTCGAGTAAATGTTTACGCGACCGAGCTCCAATGCCGAGCCGCCCGAGAGCTTCGCTGCGAGATACTTCAATCAATTTATTGATTCATTGATAGGCGAAGCTCTTGGACTTGTATGCCACTTGCAAATCATCTTTTCTCACTACACAATTATTACTAGTTACTTAAAAATAAAAAAAAACAGGAAATGTACATTATTGCACACGCGCACATCATAATACCAATATACCTACTAAGACTAACAGTCGTACTGAATTGGTAATATGCCCGTGCCACATTATTTCAGGCAGCTCAGCTGTAACATTGTATCAAGTGCACTACAGCTTATGTGATTATATATTATTAAAAAATAGAACAATTTGCAAGTGGAGTATATTCTAATAAATGATTCTATTATACTTTTCTATTCTTTTCCCAATGTTGGCAAGTAAAAGCAAGTGATTGCTAAAGACCGAAGAGAAAAGTTAGAAGACGCGTGTCAGCTCCCCGCCCCTCGCAGTGGGCCCTGGGTACACAGGGCAGCTAGTGTGGTACATTGCTACGGGAAAGTATCCCGAAGTTCTGCAATATTTTATCTTTTAACTAAATTGTTAAGTAAGTAAGTACTACAAAGTCGTCTAAAAAAGTGACTGCTACGTATGTAAAGGTACATAAATATCTAAGTATTTTATCATACCACACCGTCTAACCGAATTTCCAGAAAACTATCGTAAACTCTATGCATCAACATCAACAGTTAGCTACCGGCATTAATTGCCGTACTGTCCTGCCTACCCCTTCAGGGATAAAAGACATGATGTTATGTGTGTGTATAGTGTGTAGAACTTGTGTGTAGTGTGTTCGTGGGAATAATAATGAACAATTGTTCTCTTATATATAATAAGTATTTATTTAGTATGTTTCCCATATGTGTAGGTGTAGCCATATAATGTAAGTGTAGTATACGGAGGCAAAGACATTTTTTAACGTCCTTGTACGGAGATTGCTCCGCAATACTTTGTCACCGCGCCTGTTTGAGACCAAAGTGGGTAAATAGAGTACCGAGGCGATGCTGATGGTGCCCCCCTACGAGTAAATATCTTCATTTGCATGTCAAAAGACTTCCATATTTCACTTTGAATTGAATTCAACCTTAGACAACTGTGTCAAAATGTTTGCGCGACGCGACACGCGACGCCCACACGCCTGAGCCTGGCTGACTCTTTGTTAAACGTACAATATCGGACTTAATGTGTTTCTCTTTAGAAATTTTAAGGGGTGATGTTGCGTAATAGTGACAATATCGTGTATTATATATATATATATATATATATATATATATATATAATAGAATATATATATATATATATATGTATCCTAACAAATATCATACATGCAATAAATAAACTAAGTTTGTTTAACTTACTCGATTAACCTTTTGGCATTTTTCATACTTAATACAAAGTTTATAATAGTTGCGAGTGCGGGAAACGAACTTAGACTTTCACCCGCAGGCCGCAGGCCGCAGATAAAGCCGTGTTTATAGATAATCATTTATGTTTGTAATCTGTGTTTTTAATTTAGTTACTGGTAGGATAGTATTTTTCCAAAATAATTTAACTATGTGCATAGTTCATATATTTGAATGAATTCTTTTTTATCTATTTGGAATATTATTCCATTACGAATACTTTGAGGCTTGCTGAAATACAACCACGCGGCTCTATCGAAGAATATTGGTATGATTATACAATGATATTCTACCTCTAGGACATAACAATGTGTAATGGCCATTGGCACATCCACCATGATCCACCACAATAACCACGGCCTCCTACTGCCGTCTCTCCATATACCTCGCAGCTAAATTGAAAGGTAAACAAACAAGCAGGTACCTACGTATATATACACTTACAACAACCATGGACAGACAACACTACAACAGTACAGGTTTACTAAAAATAACATTTCATAACGTTATGGACTGGTAGGAATCGGTACTAAACAATAACAGCACCGGACAGATACGTACTGTTACAATACTCATACCAGTGCGCTGCCAACTTGGAACTTAAAATACCAAAGCAATACGTTTACACTGCAACCGCTAACCATATACCAGTACATCGTGCCTTATGCAAACAGATGCAGCTGCACACCCTAGGGAAGCTCTTCGAGAAGGAGATCCACTCTCCCGTACCCACGAACCATGATCCATGTGATCAAACACAAACATATGAGCATTGGGACAGAGCGAGGACGTAGATACCTAAATGCACGAGTGTTGCGACGCAACTTGCAGATGTAGAGGCGTCAATATACCTTGACCTTGTTGTCCAGCGGGCGCGGCTCCGGCGCCAGCAGCGCGCCCAGCTCCACGCGGCAGGTGGACGGCCGCCGCGCGTCGCCGCCACCGCCACCACCGCTGCCAGCCGACATCTCCGAGCCTCCGCTCTCTGCGCACACACAGCACACACACTACCGTCAGCGGCGGCCGCGCCTTGCCGCGCGCAGCCGCCGCGAGCGCCGCGGCCTCCGCGGGCGCTGGCGAGAGCGGCCTGCGCAGCGATTCACCGCGTTGCAATGCGGACGAGGATATATTTAGCGAGGGCGGGCGGAGGACTGCCTTGCCGCACGAAAACTCACCGGCGCCATCTCCGCTGCGCGCGCCATCCCGCGTCCGCTCCGTGAACTGAAACAGAGCGAGGTTTGAGCATCGTGCTGAATATGCGCGCACCGGGCGCCAGAGGGCGCTCACCTGTACGCGGCGCTCGCGGCGCGCGGCGATCTGCCGCGAGTGGCGACGCAGCGCCTCCAGCGTGGCGCGCGCTCACTGCTCCCCTGCCGCCGCCACCGTTCCGCAACCTGCAAGGTTCGAATGTGAGTTCAAAGCTCCTTATTTATTGTTATTTCATCGTAAAATATTTTTGTGTACAGGTTGGTATACGTAGCCGTGTCATAAAAGTTACGCGCTAATTTTGCACTCTGCGTATGCTGGCCGAGCATGGCTCTTCCCTCTCGGCATATCTGGCTTCATTGATGTTTGTTTACACATACCTAATGCATGTCTTTTCCTAAACATGAGCACCTCATAAATTGTGAATGTACCTACTACAGTACATTATAAAATATTTATAGGTACTTTAATTCATGCATTGCTTCCAACTATTTCGATAGGTAAGCATAGCAAGTAGTACCTGTGTAGGCAGTTTACAGGTAATAATTATGTGCAGTCTGCACACATTACAATGGTGTTTCAATGCACATCAAGAAGAACCCGTATTTATGCATGTGATGCCCAGTGGAAGCGTCAATTACGTCATAATAAGCAAAGATAACTTTAATTACATACGTAAATACATATACATAGTTATACCTAGAATTGACGAATGGGATTACACCTGTAAGACCAATGTTGAGCAAAGGTCTCTTCTCACACAGAGAAGGATAGAGCATCAATCACCACGCTTGCTAAAAGTGGATTGGTGATTTCAAATTTATAATTAGATAATCTAACCTCTGGTTTCCTCACGATGTTTTCCTTCACCGTTTGTCAGTGCAGTGTCAAACGGTGTGAAAGTAAGTATAGAACTTGGAAAAAGTCACATTGGTACTTGGCCTCTTGGTGGTTTCGAGCCCGCGTTTCGCATGCATGAGAAGCGGACGTCTTAGACCACGACATCTCTAGGAGTGGCACATGTATGTACGTAAACTATGTTATAATAAGTCTCGGCAATGTTGGTTCTGCTCACGAGAATGCTTACAAAAAAGTCTTTATTGCGAGCAACTTTACAAATAAATGAGCTGATCTCTGCGGAAAATTGATCACGTACTTGAGCTTCTCTCACAAAGTTCCAGAGAAACTTATCCTACACGGGGCCACGAGGGGCGCGGGGGCGCGGGGGCGCGGGGCGCTCACACGACCGCCTTCTCCCCGATACATCAGCCTGCTGAAGTTAAGACTGAAGCATAAGTTTTCACAGTTCAACAATGTAATGGTTAGCTAATCTCGTAGTTACGGTTCTACTGTCATGCCATTGTGTCACAATATTTTCATTAAATACAACGTTATACGATCACAATCACTTGCAAATTATTTTGTTACGACAATCTATTTACGAGATCATGAGTTTTTAACGGGATTAGAAGACGCCGCGCCGCCCGCCTCATTACAACACAGCCATTGAACACAGCACGCAATGTAACGCGGACGCGGAGGCGCGAGTTTGTATAAAGTACTTGTACAAAATATTATTTTGTTGCTCCCGACGGGGCATGCGATAAACCTGATTAGTTACGCTGGAAAATATATCGATTTGTAGCCTCTAGAGATTTTAAATGGTAAGGAAATTGGAACCATTTTTTGTCGATGAACAATGATTTTATGTAAAATGTAAGTTGTGACAGAATGTGAAATGGGAGAATTAGAAAGTTGTGACTGCCTGCGAATATATTCCGTATCAAAAGACCATTATGATTTGTTCGACACTATTAAAATATTAAAAATGAATCATCAACATGTTTACAGAAGTCGTTGATCAAACATGAACCGTGTTGCCTGTAGGTACCTATAGAATATAAAAAGTTGTTTAGGATATAAAAAATCTGTCGGAGCTGGCAATATTTGTAAGCCGAGGCGGAGCGACCGCACTACGGCCACTATAAATTGAATAACACTTCATCATACATGTTATTGTATTGAAAACATTCGGATTCATTGCTCCCGCGTGAGTTTAGATCTGACTTCATAATAAAACCCGACCGTCACATCATCGAGGATCTGTAGCGTCTGCGTAAAAACACATTTTATCTTAATATCTACGCGTGTACGGTTTGGCAGACAGAGTACAGCAGCGTGAAATCAGCGTAAGCTGGAAGATGTGTCTATCTCGGCCCTGCGACACCCGCCGAACGACTACAACACAACAATAGGTTGTACGTTGTAATAAGTGACTTTTGTACGAACAGATACAATTCTGTATAACTATTGAACTGAACTTATATTAACCATAGAGACCCTAGTTGTCGATAAATGTTGAACGAATGATGTTATGTAACAAAATGTTCCCCATTTGTAGTATGTTCGCCTTAAAACGGAAAACTTGAAAGCTTTACCTAAGCACGTACTCGACACTAGTCGCTCGCCTGATTGACGACACAAGTGTTATAATCTCGATAGCTGTCGACTGATAATTCGACGAGTCGTCGAACAAATGACAAATATGGAACCAACAACGTGCGGATGTTCGATTACGATCTTATCTTCTGTGTGACGTGATTTCATTGTTTATCGCATTTTATTGAGTTTTTAATTAATAAATATTCTCTACCTGGCTCGTTGGTCGAATTTTATATAAGTAACTACATATATGTGGAAGAACGCATTGAATTGCTAATTTTCATAATTTTTTTGATTTAGAGAAGCTATATAAGGTATACTAAACAAAACAAGTCGTAAGTAGTTTTTGTAATTAATTTTTATTATGTGCCTATGTGCAATTGTATTTGTACCCACGACATTTATTGTGTACCCACGACACTGGAAAAAATCCTAGTATGGGGCAAAGTAAAAAAGCTAATTATATTTTTACTAAACACAGAGTACAATGCCATACGTACGTTTTTATGTTAGTAACCCTGACTTTGCTAGTAAATCAACCAACGTTGTCGAAGCAAGTCAAAACTTACAAACCTTCAAATTTTATTCCGATCATAAACATTACACTGCGCTTCTTAATAAACAAATGACGGGAGAGACACCCCAAGCAAGGGGAGGGGAGGGGAGAACTGTCATCAATAAGGCAATAAATAGTTTGAAGCAAGTGTTAAGTGGCGTCAACCGGCGAGTCGGGGGCGGGCAGCGGGCAGCGGGCTACACAAACACGGGGCCGCGACACCGAGGGCGACAGCGAGGCGACCCGACTGCAAGCACTAGGCAATGTAGAAGATAATCACGTATAAGTTACGCGAACTGTGATTAAAAATCGTAAAAATATGTGATTATGGCCGTAATTTATATTAAATGTATAAATTAAGGCCAGCTTTCATTTTATAAATAGTTAGATAGCAGTAGCGGAACCAGAGACTATCCTACGACGACGTCACTTATTACAATTTGATGACGTCAACGCGTGCTTGACGCAGGTCTAGAGACGTCGGCGTGTGGCAGCCGCGAGCCACTGCGTGCCATTCTATTATTGTAACGTGTAACAAAACATCAAGCCTTTTATTCTTCGGTGGGATGGCCATATTGAAATGGTATTGTTGTTACCCACTTCTGTAAGGTTTTACCCATAAACACTGCAATGATAAAATGAAATTACGTATTCATTGAACGAAATGGATGAAATGTATAACATTGCGCACAATTGCGCATATCATAATAAAAATAATACAATATGTGACACTGCGCTGCAAACTAAAAGTATCACACTTAGCACTCATCGATGACGTACCAGCATATTATTATATCCTTAAGGTACGGTCTGGGATCGCGGAATGGATTTATTACGATCATCGCAAGCGTATTTTGGCACTTGAAGTTTACAGCTTAAAAGTTTCCCATTCAGCCGGCGCGTGGCCAGGCCATCACTGCAGGAAAACAAACACTACCTACATAATATGCTTTAAAACTACATTTAAATAAATCTTGTAATATACTTTAACAAAGTAATTTTGGTCATTTGCATGTAGGTACTTACTTTAAGAAACTAAAAACACAGTTTTAATCATACGTCCTACCATCAGGAGAAATGGACCCAACTAATGAGCACAACCTCGATATATTTACTAGCACGCAGTCCAAGGTCCCATCAGCTTATGCTGTCTGCCATTCCCCTCTTTAAGGAGTGAAGAGAAGCGTCCTCACCTAACGCCTGACGCTATTGCTTACCGGACCTGAGAGCTTCGGGAGTTACTTAGGTCTGATAGGGCGGGAGTAACTGCCCGGTTGTCATCACTGCGAGGAGAAGAGAAGAGATATAATCGGTGACGGCGACCTCTCGCGTTCGGCCCTAGTCCTGCACACCAACAGCAAGTACCAATGTGACTTTTTCAGAGTTATATGTACTTTCTGAGATTATCTAGACACCACTGACAAACGAAGAAGGAAAACATCGTAAGCCTGGGCTTATAATTTGTATTTATAAGTTCAATGATAGGCTCCACTCCATCTAGGTATAAAGTTTTATCAATTCAAATTAATCAATTCAAAACACTATGCAGTTAATATAAACCGTTGAGGAGTTCCCTCGTTTATCTTTCAACTCCATCATCAGGTCGTCCCTTATGAAATTATAGTATTTAAAAATCTTTTACACATTGACACATTACTCGCCCCTACAATTTTTGAAAGTTCCCCTCGATATCTCTGGTCTTCCACCATCAGATCCTGATTTCCTTACCATGGGACCATTCTGGGACTATTTCATTTCCAACAAAAAAAGAATTATCAAAATCGGTTAATAAATAACGGAGGATCAGACGCAAAATATTACTATATACATATATATGAAGATCGGCTACAGAGATTCTCTTTGTTAACTTTGAAGCATTTTTTTTAAGGGGGGAAAATCATCAAATGACTGCTCCCGCCTGGGTGAGGCGGGAGGGAGTGTCAGACTCTTACTGACTAAAAACCACCCCATTCCTTCTCCTGCACGTCGAGCCGGAGCCCCGGTTACCCGTTAGGTTTTCCGCGACAACTTTGAAGCATAGAAGGTGGATGAGACTTACATATGTATCCTCCATAAAAATGATTCACTGTTCAATGGATAGTGGCCTAATTAAATATTTAAGAATACCGACTCGATCTGTTCGAACTCCTCGATGTGTTTAATATTCCTACTAGCAATAATAATGTCTCA